TTTCGACTTTCTTTCCAAACCTAGAAATAAGAAAGCGTTATTCCGATATATGAGATCGCGCAAAATTCTGCCGTCTCTAGCTAACTCTGATTATGACAGGTTATCGACGGAAGAAATGACTAATTCGTTAGAGGCAATCGGAAGAGGTTTAGCTAACAGATTTTCGTCGACTTTGACAATCAACTGGCAAAAGTCCTCTGTAAAGACTGACTACGAAAAAGTGACATTGTCCGAAATGTCAAGCGTAATTAGAAACTTACCCTCTTCGGCTCCTGGTCCTGACGGTATAGACATTTCCTATGATTAAAATTTTATTCCAGATATCACCCGGCGACGTCCTCAACCTTATAAACTATTCCTTAAGCAATGCCTGGATACCACATGACTGGAAAATAGCTAGAGTGATTCCCATATTAAAAAAAACAAGGGTCAGGTTTTAACATTGACACATCAGACCAATCTCTCTAACATCTCACCTGATCAAAATTATAGAGAGAGTTCTTAATAATAGAATAAAAGTTTGGATGGCTGACAAGCTAATATTGAAACCATTTCAATAGGTTTTCGTAGCGAATGCGCAATTTGGTGTGCTCATGCCGACTTAGAGAGCCGAATACAGCTTGCCCGAAAAAGACGACAATACGCGGTACTAGTAACACTAGACATAGCTAAAGCTTATGATAGCGTTGAGCACTCAATTTTATTGAATTCTTTACACGAATGTGACTTTCCGCGATATATTGTTGATTGGGTAGCAGAGTTTCTAAAATCGAGAGAATTTTATTGTGCAAAGGATGGATGTCACTCATCTAAATTCAAACAGCAACGTGGAGTACCTCAAGGGGCGGTCCTATCTCCGCTGTTATTCAATGTGTTGATGAGCTCAATTCCCATTGAACGAGATATCACTGTCTACATTTATGCAGACGACATTGCATTTTCGTTGCAGACAGTGACATTTATTCTTTGCATCAAAAATTGCAAAAGTACATGTATTCTCTTGAAATTTGGCTGCATTCAATTTCATTGTCTCTAAACATCAGTAAAGTGCGCTCCTGGTGTTCCCTATAGCAGATTCTATTCAAATTTCAGTACTTTATAATCAGGAACCGATTCCACAAGTAGAGTCTATCAAATATTTGGGCATTATTTATAACGAGAAACTTAACTGGAGCCCTCACATAGACTATAACGTGGCAAAGGCACAACGAGCTTCAGGCTTATTGCGAAGGTTGAGCAACAGAAAATATGGGTTACGTAGACACACCTTATTAATGATATATAAAATGTACATGCGCCCAATACTCGAATTTGGGTGTATATTATTTTCGGGTGGCCCTACGTACAAAATTAAACCGTTAGTTCTATTAGAGCGAGAAGCGTTACGGTTGTGTTTGCGACTCCCCAGGTATGTCGCTATTAATGTACTATATCAGGAAGCTCGCATACCAACTATTCTTTGCCGATTCCGTATCTTAACAGTACAAACATACTTGAAATTTTACGGCTTATCAGCGAGACGGTCTGCATATGCCTTTATTAGTGACCCCGACGCCTTCTTCCTCGCTCACTGGCCACGCTTTCGTACTCCCCAGATTATTTTTGTACAAAAGAAACTTGAAAGCATAAAGGTGGATATCAGATCGGTAATTGGAACCAAAGCATTAAATCACAATATTACGATAGAATGTGATGAAATTTTTCCCCCACTATCTAAGTTTCAATCTTCGAGTTACTTAAATGACAGGTTAGAAGACTACATAGCTCATGCGGAAATAAAGAACATAATAGCCACAGACGCTTCTGTGAATAAAGAAAAGGCAGCAGTAGGAATCGTCTCAGATTACCTCGGTTGGTCATTCTCGGTAAGACTACCAGACTTCACTCCAGTTTTCGAAGCTGAGCTCCTGGCTATTATTTTAGCGCTACGAAACTTCCTTCAAACGAAGAGAGTGCAATGATAATTACTGATTCTCTTTCGCTGTGTACTACTCTCACAGCTTCAGAACAATCAAGAGCTCTAGCGACATTACAAACATTAGTTCCACCTCATGTGAAGTTCCTGAAGTTAGTCTGGGTCCCGGGACACTGTGGCATACGGTTGAATGAAATAGCCGATTCACTATCTCGAGCCACACTTGATGGCCCTGTGATCTCGGTACTACCAGAATCGGAACACATAGTGTCGATCAGATATAGAAAATGGGCTATTTATACGGATATTATGGAAAATATTACTAAATATACGGACTATCAGCACCTAACATACCCCTGGAAACCTCAGTGGAGTCAATCTAAAAAGTTAGAAGTTATTTTAACCAAATTTCGATGTCGTGTCCCTCCATTAAACTTTTACTTGCACAGAGCTGGTCTGGCGATATCCCCCCCTGTGTCCATTCTGTGAAGAAACGGAAACAATAGAGCATTACTTTATAACATGTAAAAACTATTCATTAATTAGGAAAAGACTTTTAATTGTTCCGTTTCAAGCAGTAGGTTTAAATTTAACTGCAGATAATGTTCTAAGTTTCGGTGCCTTTAGCTTGGGACATTGCCACAGGAGCGTATTCGATGCTGTATGCAATTTCATTCGAGAATCAAAGCGCATGTCATAATAATGCCTGCTTAAATATATTTCTGAAGACACTTGTCTAATTTTGAATGAAATTTGCATATTCATTTGATTGTGACCGGGTGAGATAAGCTCGATTGTCTGGTCTACTCAAAATTTCTGTCTTCCACTGTAGTATTACCTCACCTTTTCTCTTCTTGATTCAATCTTCAATTATTTGTTTAGTTTAATATTCCTTTTTAGTTAATTATTATTTTCTATTACATCATTAGTTTTTTCATTAAGGATAAACCTTTTAATATATCTCATATAGGATACTTCTAGATTTCATGGCCAATCCCCCATAGTGGGTATGTGCCAGTGCGAAGGGGCAACAACAACAACATCAGCTGGCGTCGTCGCCTCGAATCCGACGCAAACGTCATCGCCTCCCCCATCAAAAGTTTTGAAGCGAGCGTTCGCAATCTATTGCCGTGGTAAGTACTCTGGGTGTTCTCGAATTTCATCCCAACGGCAATCGTTGCGATTTGCTGACCATCCTGCATAACATGAATGGTTCGCATTCGGTCAGTCTCCTAAAACCTATCGCAGGTAGTGAGACGCTGTAAGAAGAAGACTAAAAAAAGCTACGTGGGCAGCCCTAAAGAGTCTCAAGACACGTTTACAGTAGTCGCGCTCATTTGCATGCATTCGGTCAGCTACCTACTGATGTTTAATCACTACTATGATCGTGCTTACCTTTAGGTAACCAGGAAATTGCCATTCGTTACCAATTTACTATGCGGTATTCTGCGAGTGCGCGTTTTCTCATTCTGCCTATAGTATTCTTTGGTAAAGCAAGCGACATACATGATTGCAATGAATGGAACATTTAAAATACAGTGCACTCGCTTGTACGTTATACAATGTACTACATTGTTCTAGTTTTCAGCCCCCCCCCCCCGTTTCTGTAAAGTTTCTGTAAAGTCAAACACACACACACGGTGGACTATACTCTTTCGTATATGAAACAAGACTACTCCACGGTGTTGCCAACGGTACCCGCGTGGTACAACCGCCATGAACAATGCTACATTTGCAGTGACACTGCAGTGGGTAGCGATATTTTCTACAATAACATTGGCGAAAAAAAAACTAGGCGGGCTGGACAACATGAAACTTTATCCGTGGCTGAACAGATGCACGGTTTCATTTCTGCGCGGAGGCCGAGATTTCGAACGAGCATTTCGCTTTCGATTCCCCTCTTGGCCTCCTGCGGCGGCCGTAGCGATGCGGTAGCACACATTAGTCAACACATGCCTTGCTTAACGCTATAGGAACGGCGCCTATTAGTCATTCCCTTGGCGATCCTATTGCTTTTTTTTTAATATGCCTCATCATTCGTTCCATATTCCAGCTTCACTGAATGGTAAGTAGGCAAACGCTTGCCGTCTCTAGCAGGATGCAGGTGGCACGTTCTATGATCGATACATTCTAGTTTCTTTGGCAGTCACCGACCTTGAGCAGCGAACGAAAGGTATGCGCAGAGAAACGGCGATATGCCGCGCAGCCGTCAGCCTCACTTACTAACCTTCTGCTCATTCTCGAAAACTTCAATGTTCAGTCATGTCTTCGGTATGCAAGCCGTGTTAAAGACCAACTGTCACTGAGCAACCACTCACATCTTTCAGGGGTGTATATCAGTAGGTGTCAACGCTGATGAATCAATATAACAAATAATTTATTGCGGACATATGACATATGTGGTGTTCAAATAAAAACGTACATGGGGTGTTCGAATTTAAACGTACGAAAGGACGCAGCGGCTGTAAACGAACACTTTATTCAGAGTATTCACTAGGTGCCTAATCGCAACTATCCGATTTATGAGCGATCCAAAGGATTCCATGTTCCCGAAATTCCTGTGGCCGTGAGGAGACCCAGTCCTCCACAGAGTCATACACTTCGTCGAACAAGCTGAAGCGCTTCCCTTTTAGATGTTTTTCTGTTTCGGGGGACCGAACACTTGAAGATCGCAGGTGATGAATGGTGGCCCGTTTAACACTTTTCGTTGACAAAAATCGTATTACGCCTGGCTCCTTCCCAATCGCCGAATTTTGAGATGTTTACGTCATCCTGTCCTTACACGTATTTATATCTCAATAGAGGTTGCTCTCTAGAAGGGCATCTGCTCTCTACTGCGCATGCGCGGGTCCCCGCATGCTCCGATTCACGGTGGAGAGATTAATCCCATCCCTAGACGTCTAGCTAAGTTCACCCTTAGTGGCGTACACATTGATGTTAACAGCATTTCGCTAGGGCGTTTAGTACCTTTGCATTTGAAGACTCTTTGTAGAAGTATACGTAAACACTGCGTAGCGGCGTACAGTTCCGCGACCCATCAATGAAAACGCTACTTTTTCTTCCTTTTCAGAAATTCTTCGCCGCCATGGTAAAACCCAAGGTAAGGAACTGAAATCGTGCATACCGCGTCGCAAGCACTAGTGACGTGTACAAGGCGAGCACTAATTACGCTAATAAAAGTGGCCTACTCTCACTACTGAGATTAATATTTGTGTGGAAAATGACGCCACGCAGAACGCCGAGAATCTTGAAGTTTTCAAGTCTAATAAGGTTTTCGTAAAATTTAGAAAACATAATTGCAAAGTTCGAACCCTGTAGGCTCGTAAAAGTAAATGGAATACAAATAACAGAACGGTTACACAAGTTTTGAAGAATGCTGAGTTATCTGTATTTCATGTTCGTTCTGACGGCAAAACTGTTTCCAAAAGCGGCTCGTATGATATACCGCTAAGTTATGCGACTATGTCAACTTTTATACCTGCGTTCTATAAAGATTTCTTTTACACTATACCTCTGTAACTGAGCAAAGAACGGAAGTTGCCATAAGCACAGAAATATGGACAATATCATTGTAAAAAATTGGCCCCGTATCTGCATTTAATCTGCAAATGTCATCGAAAGACGATAGTCTTGCATGCGGAGAGAGTGAACAAAACATTTACTTGATGTTCTGCTCAAGAAAATCGGTGAATGGTATTCCGGAGGCGCTGCGTTAGAGTGCCTCGAGCGTGCAGCGAAGGCGAACGAGTGCATCAAGTCACGTCACACGTGAAACATGACCACCATCTGGCAGTTTAAAAAAAAACAAAGCGCGTGGCTCTGAGACGGCCGTGCGAGCCCGCCTCAGAGGTGATAAGGTGTAGAATGCAAGGCGACAGGTAGGTGCCACCACCGTCTCGTTTTAGCAAAGCGTTGTAAACACTCGCCCTTCCGTGCAAGCGTTGAATGGTCAGCGCAGCGTGATAAGCGCTACGGTCCGTAAAATTACTAATGTATGCATTTTCTTGTAAAAGGCGCATATGCAGAATATATACGTGTTGTTATGGTGCCCCAGACACGCACAATAATAGCTTTTTGATAGACAATTGCACAACCATGAACGCTGAACCTTGGGCAACATTGGTGGGCGCTGCGGATGAATTCGGCAGTTCCAAATGCCCGATGTTGTTAAGAGTGGACAAACAGACAGACGCTAGACAGACAGACAGACAGATCGAAATTTTTGCTTCGAAGCTCCCCAAGAAAGACTATTGTCTTTAAAAACTGAACGCTCGTAACTGATACACGATCACTTGATTCACTGTGCGTGGCGTATATAGTAAATTTAGGCAGCATTTTTTAAATGCGAAGCATTTCTTAGCGAACTTCGGCGACTTTGAGCGTATCTATCTATCTATCTATCTATCTATCTATCTATCTATCTATCTATCTATCTATCTATCTATCTATCTATCTATCTATCTATCTATCTATCTATCTATCCACCCACCTATCTATCTATCTATCTATCTATCCACCCACCTATCTATCTATCTATCTATCTATCTATCCACCCACCTATCTATCTATCTATCTATCTATCCACCCACCTATCTATCTATCTATCTATCTATCTATCTATCTATCTATCTATCTATCTATCTATCTATCTATCTATCTATCTATCTATCTATCTATCTATCTATCTATCTATCTATCTATCTATACACGAAGCGCAAGCCGTAAGAAAGTGTGCGTGTGTAACCTCTCGTTTAGTCCTTGGAATGTCCGCTGGATGGCGGTGTTTCTATATGGGGAATATATGATGCAAAGATGCGAGATGGTGGTACTTGGAGTGTTGAATATATGGACGAACCCACACACATACAGATGCATGGACGGACGCACGAATGGCTGCACGGACGGATGGACGCACGGACGAACGCAGGGACGGACGCACAGATGGACGTGCGGATGCACGAACAGACGCACGCACAGACAGGTGGATGGACGCGCGGACGGTCACACAGACGGACGCATGGACGGACGGAAGCAAGAACGAATGGACGGACGGATTCTTCGCCCCACTCTCCATCTTTCACTCTGTCGATATGCTGCCATTTTTTTGCAGTGGTGGATATTGAACAAGGGGCCATGATTTCACTTTATCCTAAATAGCCCCTCCAGCCCTCCACTTGTGGAGATTTCCGGCAGACAAAAGGCTGCATTTTAGGAATTTTTAATCACCTGGCCGTCATTTGACTAAAAGATGGAAAGCATACTTAATTGATCTTTTGCATAACTTTTTACAGTGTTTGTAACTATTGAAGCTATCAAGATAGGCCGCAGAACACAGCCGCATAACAAGATCGGGCATGGTGGCTTTTCAAGATGACTTTAGGCCGGTCTGCGTGGAATTGTTTGGCTTTGTTCAAACACTTATAACAGCGTTCCTTCATGTCCGGCTGTGTAATCACCACCCACGGGACGGCTTTCTTTCTCCCATAGTAGAGTTCGTATAGTACTCTAATTCGTTAACCACTTTTTATAAACATACCTATGGGAACTCGTCTCACATACGGCATACCGAGGCCGTGAACCCACAAAGTACCAGTTGGGAACTTCCCATCGTTTCTTTGGATTAGCAAACGAGACCGGACCGGCGGCTGAGCGGCCGCCGCCTTACTATACGTACGTGGTGAAATCTCTGCACTTTTTGCAAAATAACTTACCAGACTGTGAAGTAATGGATATGTCACCCACTGAAATATGTGACTGTATTGCTGTAAAAAAAAAATTAAACGGACGCTGGTTGATGAAAACCACGACCCTGCCCGCTGAAGTCCGAGACTTCGCTTGGTCAAGAGAATGGCAGGCGTGCTCAGCGGCCGACAACCTTGCGGCGTAGGGTGTGGCGCTCTCCGATTCATGTCCGCAATGCGGCCGGACGGAAACTCTAAATCATGTACTTCACGAAAGTCCTGTGGCACGTACTTTCTGGCATTTGGTGGCCATCGTGTTTGAAGTCAGGATGCAATGGCAGTCACGGCACAGAGACGTTCTTGTCAAGTTGATAATGTGTATTGGTGCTTTTGTATTGTGGAAGCGGAGGGGACTGGCATGCCTGCGGGGACGTCCTCAGAGGGCCATGTTTCCTGTGATGCATCGCTTCAGAACCATGATGTTAACACATTTGAACGAACAGTTATTCATTCTGGGGGAGGAAACTTGCCTCCTGCGGTGGTCAACACGATTTATTCTTCTCAGAAAGAACAAAGTGTCCATGCCTTGCCTTCATTACTGAGAAGGTAGGCTAGCGATTGTGATTTCACTGAACCCGAATTTAGTATTGTAAAGTATTTATTTATTCTTATACGCATTTTTTAAAATGTTGTTTTTTGTTCCTTTTCATGAATTGTACGTACCCCTGCGCATAGTTTTTTTATACACGTTAGAATTTCTGTTTACTGGTACAAACAGTTCCTGACGTGCATTTTAATGTATATTAAGGTATATTAGCAATGTCTTGAGAAAGAAAAATGGCCCCGCTGCGGTGGTCTAGTGCCCTAAGGTACTAGGCTGCTGACCCACAGGTTGCGGGATCGAATACCGGCTACGGCGCCTGCATTTACGATGGAGGCAGAAATGTCGGAGGCCCGTGCGCTCAGATTTGGGTGCACGTTAAAGAACCCCAGGTGGTCGAAATTTCCGGAGCCCTCCACTACGGCGTCTCTCATAATCATATGGTGGTTTTGGGACGTTAAACCCCACATATAAATCGAGAACGAAAAAATGTGACACATAAATGTCTTCTCTTGAACATCCACGCTCTGCTCTGCACAGCACTGCGGGTAATTATTATCAACAGGGCCTCACTAAGTGCGAGGCCCACGGGACGGCTTTAAGCTCTCCCATAGTAGAGTGCACCGTACTCTCAATCGTTACCTGCTTCTTCTGAATACACACACTTACTATGAGCCGGTGAAGCGATTGTGATGCATTAGCGATCCAATTCGCTCTCGGTACAGGCAGAAGAGCCATGCAGCGCTGACTGAAGACCGCTTGTTTTGCACGCAACGATTTATAATGCGCTCAAAGGGAAACACCGAGGACGAGGAGGCTGATGATTAAGATCACCGGAGTAAATGGGCTATGCATTTTGCCTTCCAAAATGTGTCACCGCTTCGCTAAGCCTCAAGGTACCCGCTGCCAGCGTTGTCGTTCGGTGGGAAATACTGTACGGGTGCTGAAATAACCACGCAGTTCACACAAAGCACGCTGCGTGAGCAATTCGTGGTGATTCGTCTTAGTCTGTGCTTTGTCCACATAGAAGTTTTCGAGCAGCAGTGCTCTTGCTTTTCGTTGAGTTCATCGGTTGTTTCAGAGCTGTTTTTTTATAGTTTTTTTTCGAGCATGAGGAACTTACTCACCCAAATTACCGCATTTGAGAAGCTCAGCGACTGAGAAACTGCGCAACGATCAACGAATCAGCATGTCACCTCAAAGGTGATTAATGAATGTAGCCGGTTTAAACCCCCTACATGAGTGGAGTAAGAGTTTCATCCTCCAAGAAGTGCCACCAATTCACTATGCTTCGCAATGCCCGCATCCACTGTAATCGGTCCTTGGTTAGACGATACAGCCTGTCTAGACTGCAATCATTGCAATCAATGCGCGATTCACAAAGAGCACGGTGCCTGATCAATTAGTGGTGGCTCGTCTTCGTCTGCTCTTCGTCCACGTCTGGTTCTTGCACTGTTACCACCCGAGAAACAGCCTATCAGTCAACGGATCGACGTGCTGTCTCAAGGGGTGATTAATGAATGTAGCTGATCAATACATGGGTATAGCTTTCGACAACCAGCGCATGTAACCATTTGACGAAGCCTCGCGATGTAGCACCACTGTTCTGAGTCCTTCGTTGGTTCATCTGCGCTGTTCAGGCCGCAGTGACCACACAGATCGCCAAGACCCAGGCAGATGCATTCGAAATTTGCGGTTGCGAGTGCACAAACCGCACGGCGATCAACGGATTGACAAGTGTTCTACAGATATGATAAATGATCGTAGCAGTCATCTTGCGAAAAGCATCGAACCGCTTTTGTTCCTATCGAACAGGCTGATGCGGAAGCCGAGAGCGTGACCGGAGAGCGGACGGGCTTCTCCTTCATCGTGGGCAACATGCTCTTCTTCCTCACCAGCAGCGCCATCATGGCCGGCCTCGGACTCGGATTCCTCACCAGGAACACCGAAGGCACGAATAAGTTCAATATTTTCCTTCGCGCCATTGTCTATGCCGTACTCGGTTGCCTGTTCATAAATAGCACGTGCAGCACACCTAAGAGATGTTCCTTAAAAGAGCAACACTGGGTGTAGTGGAGAAGGCACATCTTTCCCTATAAACCACAGTGATTTATTTATTTATTTATTTAATTATTCATACTGTCTGCCCAATGGCCAAGACAGGAGTTGGGGTTACATATCTGGCACGTACAAAGAACATATGTGGAAACAAGTTTCACACTGTACGCTCAAGTCGCATATTATATGGAAATAACAATACCAAAAACGCAAAACTATATCAGAATACATCCCGCATAGGTCACGGATAAAAGAAACATGTTCGAATACATCTCGTACACGTCACCAAAAAGAGAAAAAAGATTTGAAGTGATATAGTATATATTGAACATATTGATATAGTACATTGAACGTATTCAACCGACAAAGAACAAGCAATTTGGTTACAAATATTCTGACAAAGCCTTTTCGAACCTTTGTAAATCGCAATGTTCGACTATGTATTGAGGTAATTGACTCCAGTGATCAATGCTCCGAACCAAAAACAAATACTCGAATAAATCTGTTCTGTAGCTAAGTGGTGTGATATGTTTCGAGTGTTTTGTTCTGGATGTAATAAATGGCTGTAGTGCGATGTGTTCCTTTAGGTGAACTTTGCAGTCTCCATTGAGTATCTGAAAAAAGAATATCAGTCGATTATGTTGCATTTTTTGTTTCACCGTCATTAAACCGGCTCTGTCTCTAAGCTCACTAATAGACTGAGTTCTGGAATAGGAGTTGAAGATGAACCGTAAGGCTTTGTTTTGTATACGCTCACATTTTAGTGCATTTGTTTCGGTGTACGGTTCCCATAGATGACTTGCGTAGGTCAGTACTGGAAGAATAGTCATTTTATACGCCATTGTTTTAGCTTCCGGGGTCGCATCGTGAAGTTTTCGTCGTAACGACCAAAGTTTACGCATGGCTTTATTGCAAACACTGTCAACATGCATGGACCAGTTCAAGTCATGTGTAAGATGAACACCTAGATACTTAACATTCTTTACTTCAGTCAGCACTGTGCCTTTAATGCTGTAAGAAAAGGATAACGGGTCTTTTTTACGTGTCATGCGCATAAAGAGAGTTTTTGATGCATTCAGTTCCATTTGCCATACGTCGCACCAAAGACTAATTTTTTGTAAATGGTTATCAAGCTCCAGCTGATTGTCAATGGAGCTTATCTTCGCATACACAATGGTGTCATCTGCATAATGTTTTATTGCTATTTGCTGAGAAAAATCGGCACCCATGTCACTGATATAGATAGAGAAAAGTAAAGGGCCTATTACGGACCCTTGCGGCACGCCTGATCTGACTGGTTTATTGGTACTGGAGACATTAGTTAATTCAACAAATTGTTGTCTATTTGACAAATATGCCTCTATCCATTTTAATAGCTGACTGTCACCAGTCAAACAAGACCACTTTTTAAGCAACTTTCTGTGAGATATTTTATCAAATGCTTTTCGGAAATCAATAAATATGATGTCTACTTGACCTTTTCCATCTAAACACTGACCAATTTCATGCGTAACCTCAGTAAGAATTGAAATTGTGGAATACCCTTTGCGAAAGCCATGCTGATTATTACCTAAAATAACATTTTTTTCAACAAACTTCATTAGGTGAGTAGTCAAAATGTGCTCCAGTGTTTTACAACAAGTACTTGTCAAGGAAATTGGTCGAAAATTCGTGACGTCATACTTGGAACCCTGTTTATGGATCGGTATTACCTTGGCACGCCTCCAATCTATCGGAACGTCACCGGATTGAAGTGATTTTATGAAAATGTCCAACAGATAAAATGAACACCACTCGGCATAACGCCTTAAAAAGGCGTTGGGAATTTGATCAGGTCGAGGGCATTTTTTCACATCTACTTTAAGTAAGAGACCCAGAATGCCTTCTTGTGTTATAGTTAGCTCAGGTAGACATTGCTCATTAAAAATTCGCACTTGAGCAGTTGAACCATCGTCCCTAATGAAAACCGATTCAAAATATTCATTAGATTGGCAAGCCATCTTATAATTATCCGTAATAGTTACATTATCGTTCTTCAAAAATTGGATGCCAAGTTTTGGTCCTGAAAGGTACGTCCAAAATTTTCCCGGTGATGTTTTAATGAAATCGGTAAGAGTTTCATTCATGTACCTGTGTTTCACTTAAAACACAGGTACATGGATGAAATGTACACAGGTACATGGATACATGTACACAGGTACATGGATGGTTTTGACTATGGTAATGCGCTGCTGAACCGGAAAGCACGAATTGCTTAACGGCTTTGGCGGTCATGTTTTGAGGAATGGGACGTGTTTTTTTTTGTTTTTTTTTTGCGGTCTTACCGGGACTGCACATTACGCATACTGAGTACGGGTCCCACATTATTGAATCACGGTGTGATCTGGTTGGTGCTCGGCACACCTAAGAGATGGGCGGAGCGAACGGACGGACCGTTCGACTAGAGGCAGGACAGGCCGAGTCGCAGAACACATCACCCGGAAAGACAGTTCGACACCCGGTGCGCCAAGAGAAATCACAAAATTTCACATACTAGGTAAACAAACTAGCCCCACCCCCTCCCTCCCCCCTTCCTAATCACCCGAACCTAAGAAGAAAATGAGCACAGTACAGTCGACGCCTGCAAACGAACACTCTCACACATTTGATCAGGCTACACAGCCTGGAGTGAGATAAGACACGATTGTAATCAGCACTGCATTGTTCATTGAGAATAATTTGGCTGGTTGGAGGAAGACCTCGCTTCGATTTCTGCGTCCCATTAAGAGCAGCGTGTTGCTACATATGATCGTATACATATGAAAAGGCGGGGGAGGTCAAAAGACTTTCCTCTCTTTTGCCTTTACAGTGAAGGGCTTCCGCCTCTGAATCTCCAGGCTTAGATATCCCTCTTTTTCAACGACGGTTGACATTCCGGCGTTTGTGGTGTCTTGACTTCTCAATCGCGTCCACGTTTTGACGTCATGCCTTTTAGCACGAAATGTTCATGAAGTCAACGGACACACTAACTTCTCAATCGCGTCCGCGTTTTCACGTCATGTCTTTTAGCACGAAATGTATGTAAAGTCAACGGACACACTAAACATCGAGTTTCTCCTGCACGCAAATGCACACCGCACACTGGCTTATCGTGGCAACTATCTTCTTCAGGCGCATGGACACGCCGGCACGTCTCGTACATGGCGTTTCCGGGCGAGCTGTTCCTAAGGCTTGCCGGCGTGGTGGTGATTCCGTTGCTAACGAGCATGCTGGTGGCCAGCGTGGCCACTGCTGGACTGGCCGCGGCGCGCCGCATGGGACTCCTGGCGTTCGCCTTCTACGTGGTCAGCAAGGCGATGGCCATGGCCGTCGCCTACGGTCTCGCCGTCGCTTTGAACCCGGGAAACCCCGCGCACCGTATCGACGTGACCAACGCGCGGCCCGCGCAGAGCAAGACGGTCTACGTCGACGTACTGCATGACGTCTTCAAGTTCGTAAGGCTATTACGTGCTGCTGCTATAGGAAGAATATAAAAGGCATCGTGGCGCCAGCAGACACGCTCGTCCTGTTGAGCATTTCTCGTCTATGTCGACTGGCACTATGATACTTTTAGATGTATTTAATCAACTAGCTCCAAAAAAGCTAGTTCGTAAAGCTATAGCTAGGAAACACGCAAGAGCTTTCGCTCACATTTGTTCAGAACATTCTGATCCATTTTATTTGCGTAAACGACCAAGCCCCTTCAATCCCGCTAGTCCCGTGCTCATGCAGTATGGTACCTAAGGGCAGTAGACGGATGCTAGAGCTAAAAGGCGGATCCCGAAGGGGTGTGAAAAGACATACCTCCTCTCCCTCCCCCCCCTTCTTAAGCTTTTATTTGGTTTTTACCGCCCAGCAACTGCAAACGAACCTCCCCGTCGCGGTCATTATCAGGGTGATGCAATACAGTTCACCGAGTTAGTGAATTCCGCGCTCTGGATGTGGCTTAATTCGCTGTTGTAGCCGCTGGACGGCAATCCACCTTTAACCTACAACACGTACAAACTGACAGCACAATTACAATGCTCACAGTACGTCAAGTATTGGTGTCCCCACTTGACTTAGACATACGTCACACAGTGCTTACTCGTCATTGTGACACCTCCCCTTCGACACTGACCTGACACCGACAGTGTTATTTCAAGGAAGCTGTATCAAGAGTACATTCGGTGCCATCCGAAATACCGGGATACAGTTTTAGTGTTCTCAAAGTCAGCACTATTTGTCGCTTAGACCAACAGTGTGCAAAATTTTTAAATTCGAACCAATACTTCTTCAAAGCAAGAGAGACAATAAGGAAACGACATGACGTGCCAAAAACGTGCCTAATGCCCACCACGAAAGCTGCAAACCTAGCGCCTGCCTGCAAGGCAGTTACTTTTCGCCGGTCCGAAGTGTCTCGCGCCGTTGCGTTCGAATATTGACCTGGCAGAAAACCGGCAACTCAGTAGCGCCATCGATCGTTGAATACTGAAACGTGAACGGCGCGCGCGCAGCCTCCGAGCTTTCAAAACCGAATCTGTTGGCGATCACGGGGGCGGGCCGAGGCGCGCGATTTCAAATGACGTGGGGATGTCGCGGCGAAGAGCTACTCTCAGGGCGAAGTCATGTCATAAAACATAGAAACGCTTCATTTCGGACAGCTTAGAAGCACTGCGCACCTAAACACGTCTCAGTTTGCGCATTATTTGTTCTTACAGAAACACCTTGCCGAGAAATTTAATGGAAGCGCTTATATTCACGGTAAGTACGAGCCCTCGTTTGCCGCGAGGCGAGCTGAAGAAGATTGGGGGGGGGGGGGGGGGGGGGGGGGGGGGGGGGGGGGGGGGGGCATAATTAAAAATGCCAAACATGTGCTTTTCGCTGTCTTATTTTCTTCTCTTTTCCTGCAGCCGTACACTGTTGTCGACGTGAACAGCACTGCAAAAGAAACCAGTAAGATTCGTTGTTCCTAATCTGTATAAAATGGCAATAATTTTTGCGCTCTGAATGTGCTGGAACTGAAACAAACAATCGCGCTAGCCATAATACAAGCCATTGCTTCAATATTTTTTAGTACGACTTATTCGTAGGATTAATTTCTTACCTTTGCGTTCAACGACACATTCATTAAAACTTGGTTGCACATTACAGCGACATACTACTACTACTACTACTACTACTACTAAGTATAATAATAATATAATAATAATAATAATAATAATAATAATAATAATAATAATAATAATAATAATAATAATTTCGAGTTTTACGCACTGAAACTACGATACGATATGAGCACGCTGGAGTGGAGAGAAACAACATTTATTAAGAGTCCGGCGATGATAAATCGGGGTGGGCTTAAACCCCGGCCTAGGCATCGGGCACGAGCCCTTGGGCTCAGGCGGCTTCCTCGGCTCGCTGGACGGCCTATAGTTGAGAGCTTCAAAAAATTTCTGCAATCTGGTGTTTAACCTGCACTGACATCGCACAGTGCAAAGACCCATTAACGATATGACGATAGCTATAGCGCGAGAACGAAACGACGACACAGAGACAAGAAGGAGACAAAAGACACTGTCTCTGTGTCGTCGTTTTGTTCTCGCGCTATAACTATCGTCATGCCATACCATATAGCCCAAGCTGCCACACAGGCCTATTAACATTTCACCTCCATCAAAAGGCGACTACCACTGTCGTGATCAAACACGCCCCCTTTGTGCCAGCAGCCGAACGCCGTAACCACTGCGCCACAGAGGCGGACAAGTAGTCCACTGAGAGGATTTTGTGTTCTGTTCAGATACATAACGTGTTTAGTATTAGGACAAGTCAATAATATAACCTTGATGGTATTGGCACTTAACGCAAAATGCTCTTTCGATTAAAAAAATTATCAGCACCCCCCCCCCCCCCCCCCCCCCGAAACTAATACCTCGCTAGCTATAAACTGGAGTTGTGTGTCGACGAAGCTGGAAGGCGTTAATTTATATAACGCCTAAATAACACAAACGCGTACTTCTGCACTGCTGCTCCTGAAGCATTCCCGCGTCCGCTCTTACAAAACATCTTTAAAAAACTAAAATGATAAACAAGTAAGCGAAAATACGTGTATCGCCAGTAGTCTAGAGTCAGTCGCGTGACTGTTATTCCTCTCACAAGAAAAGACGAAGTCACAGACGCAGTTGATAAGCGAAAACGCGTTTGCAATACTAAATGTCCAGGCGGAAAGGTATACCGTATAGTTGAACTCGTCAACTTATGTCGGTACATCACATGTAAACGTTCATTAGGCGCGAATTCAGTTTTCCCTCTTACATTACCCACAACTGTACGTTTCTGGCCACTATAGTTTCCAAGCAGGTATGTGCACCATCACAAGTGTGAGCTATATTCCACTTTAGAGGGGGTGGAGGGAGGGCGAAAGCACATCACACTACACCTGCCCCCCTCTTATGTCAATGTATTAGGCTGATTTTGCGCCCCCCCCCCCCCCCCGAATTTCAGCGCCCAACTTCCTATGAAGTCAATTTGCAGAGCCGACTTTGCCCCTTCCTTTCTTCCTTTCAGTGACCATGGGGACACTCCCCTGACCTAACCCCTTGCGCACGCCTATGAATATCACATTCCATCACATAACAGTGGCGCTGGCTATTATCGGCTAACATTGCAACACTGCCTTGTGGCAGGACGCCATGTGTAGGACAACGTTGGCCATCAACATTGACTATGTCTTGTTATAAACAGCTAATTTGCATTCAATTCATTCCAATTATTGACTAGGTTGTCTACACTTACTTTGTTGAAAAACAGACGCTAGCCTGGAGGGCCAGACGCCCATCGTACGACGCGTCAACGTCCCGAACTACATGGGCATGACCGTTGTCAGCGTGCTGCTGGGCGCAGTCCTGGCAACCATGTGGGAGAGCTGCCGCGGATTCATCGAGCTGTTCGTGGCCATCAGCGACGTCATGCTTAATCTCGGACGGATGATCATGTGGTACGCAGTGCAGTAGAGCACACGCTTATTCCTAACAGGCACACGAGACATGCTTGTCGTTTGAACGAAATGAACACTGAAATGAACGCTTTCAATGCAACAAAGTATAGTGCGCTGCTGGAAAACAGACGTTTCCACAGCAGCTTAAAACGATCAATGACTTGAACACTTACATTTTGATGATTTACAGGCAGGCAGTGGTGTAGGCAGAATTTTTTATGTCGCAGGAAAGTATACTACGCCATCGTCCAGACTAGTCGCCGCAGAAGAAGGCCGTGTAAAGCACTACTGGGCTTCTTGCGAACTACTGACCTGTCTGAACGACTGAGTGGAGAGTTTCCGTGTGCAAGTCTACGTGTTTTGTTTTTATTTCCTTTTTATCTCTCTCTTCTTTTTTCAACCCCTTATTCTCTAACCCAGAGTAGCATACCGGATCCTATAATCTGATTGAGTTCCCTGCATTCCTTTTTTTCTCTCTCTCTCGGAAAATAGGGTGTATTTGATCCCATGTGGGGTTGCAGGCAGCAAAGTGTGGTCACGTGTCTGTTTGTTCTCCGTATTTCATGGCAGTAATAAATTGCTAGGAGGAGGGCAGGGGGAGGTGCACGTACCTGGCGTGACATACCCGCCTCCACAAAGCAACTAGACATAGTAGCACACTGCTAAATCCACGCTGTGCTAATGAAGGTTCAGCACGTGTCATGCCTTAGAGGCATTCGAACTGGCTACCCGTGTATTCACGTGGTAAGATTGTGTAAACGGAATCCATTATTCCTACTGATTCCTAACTTATCGGTAAAACCCGGCTGATGGAGAACAACAACAAAAAATGATACTCGCGACTAAGTGGCACGTAATGTGAGTTTTTTTCAATTTTCTATAATCCATGTGCGTACTGTTTCTTGCTTACTATTTTCCTTGGCCTGAAGTAATTGCACATAACTAGATATATATTTTTCGAGCCTTCACAACGAGCCTTCACGAGCCTACTACGTCCTGAAAACCACCGCACAAAGAAGCTGGAAGTGCGAGATTACATTGACTAGAGGGATCACGCGGTGTCATAAATTTGCCACCAAATTTCAAATACGCGCTCCTAGATCTCGAGCATCATAACCGTCACAGTTATTTAGTTTCAGCCTCATGACGTCGAACATTATCACCATTTCGCCGCCTTCGTCACCTCTGCCACTTCCACTACTGCTGCTACTACTAGTACTAATACTACTGCTACTAAAACCACACTACTTAGTACTATACTGCTGCTACTACTATTACTACTACTACTACTATTATTTACAACTGCTGCTTATAATATTACTACTAATTCCAATACTTGGTCTAGTGTTAGTTACTACTACAGCCACTACTACTACTACTACTACTACTACACTACTTAGTACTACTACTACTACTGTTAGTTACTACAACTACAGGTTATACTACTACTACTATTACTTCCATTACTTACTACTACTACTACTACTACTACTACTACTACTACTACTACTACTACTACTACTACTACGACGACGACGACGACGACGACGATGACGACGACGGCACAGGACAGAATAATACAGCTCCTCTGCAAAAGAATCCCTAAAGACAGATGAGACCAAGCTCCGAATAAGTGACATCGTGCTGTCGTGGTAGTTCCAACCGAAACGTCTAAGGAGGCTATTCTTGGAGAAGCACCGATTAAACTGTTTCCCGCATTGTTTGTGCGCAGGTACTTCCCCGTCGGAATCTGCTTCCTGCTGACGTCTCAGACGCTGCGCTCTCACGAGTTCGTGTCCGAGACGCGCCAGCTGGAGTCCTACTTCCTCAGCCTCGTCTTGGCGCTGGCCATTCACGGCATGCTCACGCTTCCGGCGCTGCTGATACTCTTCAGCCGCACACACTACCGGAGCCTTTTCTCAAACATCGGACTCACTCTGGTCACCGCGTTCGGCACAAGCTCCAGGTCCATATACGAGCGTCTCCCACGCACATTCAATAATATATCTTAATTTCCGGCTGAACTCCCGCGTCGATGTTGAAACCTTGTTACAAACACTTCGTGACTCATCAATAATGACCAATGCAGTACAACCAACACCGAGTAGCTGCGAGATCACAGCCATTAACACCAAACAATGGCACGCCGAACAAGAAACAACTAAAAATTCAATATCAGCTTTAATAGACTGGGAAATTGATAGCGGCGCCTCACCAGTGCTTCGCTAAAACAACGACACACCACAATGTACGCGTTATGACTCCACTTTTATCCTAAAACACAAAATACCGCACCACCCATCAAGCGAAACAATAATTGCGCTTGACGAACACTCCTACAGGCGACTAATGCTATTAATAGTTGCTATACGGGCAGCATCACGTATCATTAGGTTAACTTAGATGCTAGAGTTTGCAACTACGAAACGATACATACGCCACATGAATCATTGCAGAGCAACGCACAACACAAGAAACTAAGTTAAAGACGTTGCACTGTTCTTATAAGCACAGGCCAGAACAGTAATGTTAATATGAGGCACGTTCCTAAGCATACAGTTGATGCGTTGCAGCAACATGACGCTGACAAGTACGGTGTCCTCTCTGGAAGACAAGGTGGGCCTAAACCCGATGGTTGTGCGCCTCGTAGCTCCACTGGGTGCCACGTTCAACAAAGACGGCACGGCAATCTACTTGGTCATCAACATCGTGTTCTTTGCGCAGCGGAGCGGATACCACGTCACTTTCCTCGACTTTATCGCCACAAGGTGAGCTGAAGGATGCGAAATCGTGGGAATATCGCATTCTTGCATGCTGATCATGCCTAATAGAGTGGTTAACACGGAAGAAGAAAAAGAAGGGCGTATATAATAACCATGGTGTAGCGCGATAACACAAGACAGGCACACAAGAACACACACCATAGGCGCCACCAACAACTTTAATAGAACACTGAAAACACACAATATATACGCTGCTACAAAAACGTATGCGCGAGAGGGACAATGGGCAGGCTACAGGGCACACTCGGCAAAGATAATACATCACCATTAGGAATGAGAGAACACCTGCTCTGCGATAAACAAGACAACAGACGTCTAACGAACACAATCACTACCCTTTTATTTGATATTTATTAAATGTTTTCTTTGCAGATTAGTATCTTATTACCGTAGTATAGTAGTATCTTGTAGCATTAGAACTTTTTCATGATTTTAATATCTTTTCTGAAGCACCAACTGGCCGAGGAACAAGTCCATCTGAACGGTGCAGAGTTCTTTGAATATTTACAAGAGGGAACTCTGGCGCTTTGATCCTTCGGCCACAACGGGAATGATGATCAGTAGTACAGAAATTTGCCTAGACTTCGTGCTTGCGGCTTCGAACGCACCGCAGGTGAAAAACATTTATCCAAGGACACAACTTCAAATTCTCAACATTCTCTTGTTCCTCGCACAGTATTTTTTGATCCCTATAGAGTGTTCCTTCAGCCACGTCATTTATGACCTTTCTATTAATTCTGCTAACGGAAGGCAGGCGTATGTGTGAAATATATAGCGCCGAATTGCGGAAGTCCTCACGGTATGAGCTCCGCTATTCAAGCATTATTTTTAGCGTTAGGTTTTATGCGATGATATATTAGCCACCAACATGTCTGAAAACGTTTTGAGAAACAAATCTATCAAATCTGCTTGATGCGAAATTTCCATACTTCTAAGCATCACCACAATGCCATTGACTGTTTAATCGTAACGATGTCACTGCTTTTTTTTTTCAAATACCTGTACCTATACCTGAACGACATGTCTACACTGCAATGAAGAAGTCCAGTATTTCCTCTTACCATCGTTTTTCATTCTTACTGTTCGCAGCACCGTGACCCTGATAATGAGCAGTGCCACGGCAGCCATTCCAGGACAGAACGAGATGTGCATCATTTTTAGTACGCGGATCCTGGGCATTCCTTCGCAAAGCGTCAGCGTCCTCATACTCAGCGACTGGGTCGTGTAAATACTTGCTTGTAATGTAAACAAGTGAGTTAGTGTCTGTCAGAGTCGGGCTAAACAGCGTAAAGCCTTCGAGTGAGAAACTCTTATTACCAAGCAAAATAACCGACTACTTGTGTGGCGTCAAATGCACAAAAGATACGAGTCTAACTTTTTTTGTTATTCAAAGCATAGCCCTTAAAAAACAACACATTTACGTGATATCAGCACAGACGCGTCGCCAGTAAATAAACAGAATAAATCCGTGCATAAAGTGTCATGAAGATCAGCGAGGCGGTTCTCCTAACAGGTTGCTCTGTGGAGGTGATGGCATGCTTGCTGAACTACCAGGCACGACCACGCCAAGTCCACTGCAGTTATAATACAGAACTGTTACGAGAAGGACATGTATTGATTATTACTTGTCGGTCACATATATTAGAAGAACACAGAGTTATAACAGTGATTGACAAAATGTCATACAGCTCATGCCAGCCGAGCGTCTCCCTCAGGCTGACAGATCCAGATCACTTTCCCCAGCGTCGACCACACATGTGGCACATAAGCTGTTATAGCAGTAAAGCGCAATGGCTAAAGTCAATGCCAATTGCATCAATTATCAATGACATTAAGCTAACTAGAGCAGCAAAAGGCTGGAACCAAGGGAATGACTATTTTATAACGACCATTCATAGCTTCAATCTCACCACTGAGAGCCATAAAAAACAAAAAATGCTCTACTGCCCGAAGGGAATCGTGAGGCGATGCGAATGTATTTCTTGAGCTGAGAGAGGGTACCGTTGCCGTCATACATTCGCCTTCACCGACTTCTGCAATCGCCTTGAGGGACACCCAGCCAGCGAACGGTCCAGAGTGAAGGGCGAGCGGACGGGAGAGTGGGGCACAAGTAAGAGAGAAAGCGAACGGCGAGAGAAGGAGCAGCGAAGCACAGCATGTACTTTCTCCCACTCTCGAACCACGTGATCTAGTTCCTAGGGGCGAGGATAAGCGCACGCGCTCACAGCTGTTGCTATAGGAGGGGGAGTGAGAGCGGAGAGAACACCTGCCGGCGCACGTTCACCGATGCGGACAACGCCGGATGCCTGACATAGCCCGGCTAAGAAATGCATTTGCATTTAAACTAATGATAATAGACTGACAAAACAGGAAACACCCGTGGGACAATGGAATAATCGTGCACTTTGAAACTATTCAGCTCGCGAAAGCCTTCAAACTTCTTCCCGTGTGCAGGGACCGGCTAGCAACTGTGGTGAACGTATTGGGGGACGCAGTATGCTGCTGCATCATAGACGAACGATGCCAGAATCTTCTCCCTGGGACCAGCGAAAAGGCCACAGTACCAATCGAAGACTCTCGGCAGGAGATGGCCGGTGAACTTCATTTGGACAATATACCGAGCCCACAGATGGTCCCCGCCTCGGATTGTGCCACGGCAAACGGGAATGTAAAATAAAAAAATGCTTACCGAATATTCCATCTTATTTTTACATTAAAAGTTGCATTCAAGAAACAGCTTTTTTCTTCATCACCCTTAGGTCCAAATGCAGACTCTCAATGAAGCTGAATCTTTGATTTCTACAGGTTAAATGCCTTAATTTTAGGCGTTCTCCTGCAGCAGGAAACAAAACAAGATTGAGGTACGCCGTAGTCTGGTACTGCTACCACTGCGGTTGCATTGATAGTCGAGTGGTTAGTCAGCCTCGAAGTTCAGCGAGGAGATGCGAAGTTACAAGCAATTGATTGACTGACTGAATAATTGATTAATTTATTGACATGTTGGGTTTAACGTCCCGAAATTACCACATGATGAGATACGCCATAGTGGAGGGCTCTGGAAATTCCGACCACCTGGGATTTTTTTTTAGGCGCACCCAAATCGGAGCCCACGGGCCTACAGCATTTTCACCTCCATCGAAAATGCAGCCGCCGCAGACGGGATTCCATTTCACGACCACCGGATCAGTAACCGAGTACCTTAGCCACTAGACAACCGCGGCGGGGCAATATTACACTTGTAGTTTTGTATTGTGGTATTTAGGTATAACAACGAGAACTGAAAGCGCTATCGACAATTTACTGATTAATACATATATCGATTTTCCTTTACGTTGGTTCTCCATGCATACTATTGGTACTACTCAGGTTCCTACAATATGTTGAACGTATATTTACTAATCCTCCTCTGCCCAATTCGGCATTGATAACATAAGTATGCCGATACCAACCAACTATTAGACAACCACAGACAAATCGCAGACAATGCAGCTTCATCCTTTTTCAGATTAAACGAACCAAGAAATTCAGTTAGCTCAAGCAGAAAAAGGACGCATAACGGAAAGCAAACCACAACAGAGATTTTATACGTTAATTACCGATATACACGGGCACTCTTGCTTTAGGTTACGCCTATGTGTGTAACAATGATGAAGAGCGTAAGCTTGTCATACGTACTTTTGTCGTAAGTAAATATAAGATGAAATTTCTGCATGTACAACACATCGTATAGAGATATCGACTAGCTAGTCAGTCTACGATTCCGGTTTCCACGATTCTCGATGTGGAAACCAGATGGCGCCGCATGGTCAGACTTCAGAAGGCGTAGTCATATATACTACCCGTAAACGTGAACGCATTCCAGCCCTGAAGTGCGGCTGGCAGGATAACAGTGCTGCTGTGCCAAATGTATATCGTAGCCCGAAGAAGTCAAATACGCCTGGTACTAACGGTCCTGGTGCTGCTTGGGTTTACGCACAGTAAAAGTGAGTGTTGGTTTGAAGGCTCCAGTTCACGTTTTCAGTCGACGCGTCCTCTAGGGCCTAAACGTGCTGAAATCGGCTAATAGATTATGACGCGAAATAGAAGTCTCGAAGCCTGTAGGAAAAACTAGCATAAAAAGATCTGAAAAAATCTACACGTTATACATCGCTGATGACAGAACGAGCATCACGCACAGCAAGTGCAATAGTCTAAAAACTCCACTGCATGAGGGGCCGTGTAATCAACGTACAGATGGAACGCTGAGTAGATATGCTTGGTAACAAGCTGGCATCGAAACTTTTTTCCCCGTTTTCCTACAGCCGTGCTATCCCTACGACTACACCCGTTCACTTTTCCGGAGAAGACAATCGTGGGAACCCAAGTTTCCGCCGCCTGCACAACAGTGGAAGCAGCGCAAAACGTGCGTTTTCGCTGGTTCAAGAACGGCAGACTTCTCACAGGATCGGAACGGGACGATCGGATACATTTGAGGACATTTCCCGAAGTCTCTACCTTAGTCATAGGCCCACTCCAAGAGAGCGACAGCGGGAACTACACTTGCACTGGCACGGCGGGACTCAAGTCCGACTCCTATACGCAGAGCCTGCGTGTTTTAGGTGAGTCACATGCGTAGCGCGCTCACATCGTGAATGAAGCTTCTCTGGGCATTGTTCACGTCGTTTAACAAACGTATCATTATCGTGATATTGTTATATTACGCGCGAGAATCTCTGTACAAAGCGGCGGTGTTGTTATTACGTTGCTCTCAAATCAACGAACTCACCGACGCAGAGGACGGCGCGGTGCCTCGAAAACCATTTTGATGATTTGCAGCGTCCATGAGCCACCTTTTTACCTCGCCACTCGAATGAGCAAATTGGGTACCTAAAATATTCATAAGACATTGCACTGGAGTGCTTGTTATTGCTGAACATATTCCGTTCGTATTAAACACTGTAACCACCGGCGCATGGCTGTAAATTGTGAAAAGTAAGCAGCGGCCGAGGAAATTTCGTTGAGAAGTTGAGTTATTCACCATTCAGTCGTATAAAGTTGCAGTACAGTGCGTATCAATGAGCATTTAGGCAATGTCTAACAGTGTAGTCAAACAGCGAGACCTCGGATTTTCTTAATGATGTTATTGTTGTGGTTTCACACTGTTAAAAGAGGAAACAAACACGAAGGTTGAATAGATAGCTTTTAAAAGTAGGAGGCACTGTTGTGATGCATGGTGGTAAAATCGCTGTAAATTCACTGTCTTTCTTTAGCTTCCATTATGGCCAGCTCATGACTTGAGGCCAGTCTATGCTGTCAAGTAGCAGCATGCTTAGTGGCCCTGTTGTACGACAACTATGGATTATAGTCGTAATGAGTACTTTCTATAGATGTGTGCTACTGTACATGCTTAACGCAACGACGAGGTCGATGAAATGAAGGCTCACAGAATGCACTGACAAGCATGGATGGCTAGTGCACTAGTCCATCTAATTATGTTCAGTTCTCTCACCCAGCTTATTTTACAGCACAACTGTTCGACGTGTGTGTCGAGACAAAAAATTATCATCAAAGGCGACACTGTGTGCTTTCTCTTAAGCTTCGGTGAAGAGCCGTGCTCCCGCAAGGGTTGCAGAAGCGCGTCTTCGTTACAGAAGAAACCACTTCTCTCTTTTCCTAAACTTCAACAATCAATTTCACGCACTTGCCTGAGCCTAACACGATCCACGTAGTATTTAGCACGCACAACAGCAAGATAATGGTGACCTTGCTATACAAACAAAAACGCAAACGTGATTGGGAAAGCAATGCGAGAATACGATATGGTACAATGAACTTTTTAAGGCTTTGCAGCAGGCCGCTCCCAGGTTGGGAGAACCGAGCCTAGCCTGATCGCCACATCGTAATGACAAAAATATCGAACAATGACACTCTGAATGTACAAGACGTCTTTCGGAATTTAGGATACACAAAAATAGCACTCAACGCGATGCAACTACCTCAGTACATACCATGACTATTCAACTTGATCAAGCGAAAAAACACGGGCCCGACGTGAAAATAAAGTACTCAGTATTAAGATGTGCAGACCAATCATTAGAGCTGGCCTTCGGCGCTAACTACACACGTAACTCTAGAACACAAAAAATACGAGCACAAGTACTTAAGCGTCAAACCTGCACCCAAGCCTGCGGTTGTTGAGCAAGACGTAAGCTTTATTTTAAATAAAATTCACTCACAGTTTAACTCGGCTATGTGAAGACTGTTTCTTGGTGTCTACGTAACACACCATTCTCGCGCTTTTTGAAGGTTGAATAAAAAAGCAGTAAAGTAACGTAAGCCAGACGAGTGGGAAGGTCTCGCTTATTAGACACTCGCAAATTTTCCACACTGCATGAGGTAATGGCTTTCGTGAAGCGAAGCAGCACCGCCGACTTTTTCGGTCACATTTATTCATTTATCTCTTTCGTTTACAGTTCCACCCAGGTGGATTGATGAGCCCAGCGATGTCAACGTACGAGAGGGCGACAATGCAACGATCACGTGTAGTGCGTCGGGTCGTCCATCGCCTGCCATAACGTGGAAACGAAAGGGTAAGCGTGCTGAATACGGCGTAGGTGTACAGTAGTAAACAACACACGACTATATGCGTGTGGCTCGATGGGCATTAGGATTCACTATGCAATGGTGATAAATTCAATGCCTTGAAGACACCGAGACAGTAGTGTCGAATGGTCCTTACCATTGCTATAAAATGCTTCACAGCCTGAACACTGATCTGTATATTTAATTTTCTATTGTGATCTTTGGCGGGAAAATGTCAATACTTCTCAACGCCACCCAAATGTACCAACCTCTTATTCAATTATGAACGTGCGCTCTAAATAGCGCTAACCCTTGCAGAGGTCTTAGCAAAATCCAATCTTGTCACAAGTAGGCCAACAAAGGCGTCGAATACAGTTGTGTTCCAAAACTAAAGATAAACTACTAAATAGACAGTTAAGTAGAAACTGATTGATTGATATGTGTGGTTGAACGTCCCAAAACCTCCATATGATTATGAGAGACGCCGTAGTGGAGGGCTCCGGAAATTTCGACCACCTGGGGTTCTTTAACCTGCACGCACCCAAATCTGAGCACACGGGCCTACAACATTTCCGCCTCCTTCGGAAAGTTAAGTAAAAAGCGGTCATTTAAAGCCTCATTCAAATTTTCACATAGCCCTCAGAATAAACTTCTTGGCGAATACTGCATCAGGGAGAAATACGACGCAGATTAATTTGATATGAAAACAAGATGGCGACTGACGTGTACTGTCAGCGTCTACTGTCGACGTCGTTGTCCTATGTTGCAGCACAACGTAACGTGTGCGCCTTAGGCCACTTGGGAATCTGCATGTATTGTGACTTCTCTGGGATTGCTATCACACTCGCTAGCATCTTTTCGCTGGCAGACTTTCTGCCCTTTTTAACTAGCATTCTTCAAGACCAGCTCATTGGCAACTTTGCACCAGGAACTTGACGTCAGCAGGTTATTTGAACGGTAGTGAGCGGCAGCAGTTGCAGTACTCCTACAGGAATGCCCGTCACTCAAGAATCCTCAATTTATATGAAATCAAAATAATTCTGAGACTATATTTTTCATAGTGGAATAATAGTAATGCTAATTAAAGAAATAATAAGAGAAAAGGAGGCAACTGTACGGTTGGACCACGACACCACATTGTTTAGCTTACAAAACCGAGGTTATAGATAATGTCGCGCTTAAGCTGTCACTGAGATGATTACATATTTTCGTATTTGGTTATCACTCATTGTTACACCAACGAGCAAATGAAGTACTGCAGAACAACGAGTACAACTGCTCGATATCTACATCTTAAAACTTAGCCTTCTCTTTAACGCTATATGTTTGTTTTTTCAGAGGAAAAAGGAGAAGAGCCTGTTAACAGTTCACGCGGTGGAGCTCTCAAGATTTACAAGACAACAAAGCTGACCAGCGGAATCTATGTCTGCACCGCTGACAACGGCCTACCCGGGCCACTGGAACGGGAAATACGTATAAACGTGTTCGGTAAGAAACCATCTTCAAATATGAGCAGTGAAAAACGTGGTCACTACGAATTGAAGAAGGCCCAAGTAAAATTGACATCAGATATGGCGACTTGGTCACAAAGACAACGCACCTTTCGGTGCGTGAAGGGTGGACAACTTGTAAAAAAACACATTGAGCCGTCATTGTGAATTTTGTGATACACAAAAGAATAACAATAACAATGGAAGAAGTTGAGCTACTCTGCATACATGTTACGGCCATGTTTTACACGAGACCAAGAGATAAAACCCAAATGGTTTCCTTCTCAGAGAGACAGATGATCGCGACAGCCCGGACATATTCGTACTGCATTCGTTGTACAGGAAAATTTACAGTCTTAAAGTTCAATCCAGATTTCCCCCACTTGTACAAATAAACAGCGAATCACCCGCACCCCCTTTTCGTGGTAGAACCACAGATGGCGTTAGTAGTCCGCCATAAACTACACAGCGCTTGCGAGTTCACGGCGTGACGCGACGCACAGTACTTTCGTTACCCCTGTTTCAGCAAGCTGTACGAGCCATGCTGTGTTTCGCAATCACTTTAACGCTCAATTTACTACACGGCGCCAACCACGCGAGCGGTCAGCAAATACCAGGTAAGGTATTCCGGCTGTAGAAATCTCTAGCGAGTCCTAAGCTCTCTTCGATACGCGCAGGACGTTCGAAAGCAACTTTCCGCCTTCAGCCATTCTTTTTTCCGAGTGATCCGACGGAAGGCAACAAGGTTTCCGTGATGTGCGCTTTGGTGACCGGCGGAATAACGTCGGGAGTCGAGTTCTCCTGGTTCAAGGATGGCAAAGTCCTCACACTCGACGACCGCGTCAAGATCCGATCGTTCCCCGACATGTCTACATTGGTCGTGGATTCCCTGAGGCAAGAGGATTCGGGAAATTACACTTGCATGGGAAGACTCGAAAACCGGAAAGATTCCCACACTGCAGAGTTGCGTGTTCTCGGTAAGTAAGGAACGATATTTACTGCACGTATAGCCTCAGCACGCCGATGTTTGTCTTCTTCTTTTTCAATAAAACACACAGCGCCTGGCCGTGTTGACCAAACATGCTACGTATCATGTGTTCAGGAATCATCGCTATCTCTAAACAGTGACCGTGCGAGACGCGAGGTGAAAGGAGACAATGTGACTTATACGCAATCATCTCAAAACAACACAATATGTGATAAAACGAGACGAGCCAGCATGGTCACAGACATCGGAAAACGCAGTGAAGTATGAGAGTCATGTGTCGTTATTATCGCCAGGTACCGTAGGGCACGTGTTTAAATATAAGTTTGACATGGTCCTTACGCTTCACCGAAGCTTTTATTTTACTGCACGAAGTTTCTGAACTCGATAGCAAAATAGGATACTAAAAGCACAATCGTGTAGCGGCTAATCTAGTGCCATAAATATGATTGAACACACGAGGAAGTTTTTTTCTTGTAATTAAACGTGCACTTTTACGCGAACACGTGTGAAGTCAGTACGGCATTGGGACCGAAATAAAAGATTGAAAGGTCCTAACGGTGAGACTGCATACTTTACCGAGAAATTCGCAGCGAGGTAGATCAGGCTCTGCTGAATTATTGTTCATCCGCAATAGCTCCATGGTGCTTAGAATGGCAGATGAACCTCAACCTAAAAAAAAAGACAGTTTCGATGGCCATAAGACGCAAAAAGAACCCATTATCCTTTGTACACAGCATCAGCAGTCATAACTTATCGTTTGTAACTGAACATAAACACCTTGGCCTAGTGATGACGTCCGACATTAAGTGGAATGCTCCCTTAGCTTGCATTAAAAATAAAGCCATGAAAAAGCTTAGATGTCTGAGGAGAACCTTGTCTAAATGTACGATTAATATAAAATTGTTGGCATACAAGACATACATTAGGCTATTGTCAGAATATGCTGCTCCTGTTAGGGGTCCCTACACATAGTCAACCACAAGTGAAACCGAGAACATACAACGAAATTCAGTCAGGTTCATTTTCAATTCCTACCCTCGTCACACATCCGTTAGTATTTTACTACAGGACGCGAATCTTGAAACTCTAGAGATACCACGCCATCGAGAGATATTTAAAATCTTATACCTAATTCACCACGAACACGTCAAAATAGACACGGATTTGTGCATTAAACCGCGTGGCCTGCTCCCTACTCGTTCGTCTCATTCGCTCAAGCTAACTGACTATTCCTGCCAAACCAACTTCTTTAAACAGTTTTTTTTTTCCTCGTGCCATCCGCGAATGGAATGCATTGCCTGAATATGTACTGCAGAGCCCAACAATATCGTCGTTTGTCCGTGCTCTTGCTAATCTGGCACAGGGTGTTTCAACATAAACATACTCTTTTCGTTTCTGAGCTGAGCACTCTGTAAGCAAGTGCTCTTTGCACATTCTTGTCATGTTTTTCCTTTTTGTCATTCCTCTGTCAATACTTCTTTTTCGAAAGCAATATTTGTTCTTCTGTTGTTGTTTTTTTCATGTATTTGCTTGCCGACACTTTCACCTGCAATATTTGTGTTTTTATATTATATTGTTTCCAATGTTTCACATGCTGTAAATACTGTTAAAGTTAGATCTGCCATCTTTTTTTTCTTCCTTTTTTTCTGAAAGGGTATTCACCGTTCGTTACTTTTGTCTCTTTTATCTTTAAAACAATCCACATCTGCTTATAACTTTCAAAGCAACCTGGCAGTGACAAATGAAAAAAAAATAAAAAAATAAGGCGGCAGAAAAAGGATGGCTAGAGAAAGGTGGACTTAGCTTGTACGCGCTTAATTGACGCTACATAGAAAAAGAACAACCAGATAAATAAAGAAAAGAAGAAGAAAGCGGTGTGAAATAATCAAGTCGTGTAAAAGGATGCCCCTAAAGTTTGCCAAAAAAAGGCGACGCCCAGGAGACAAGCAAACAAATTTAAATACTGACGCTGCCTAAAATACAGCAAGCATGACTTAAGGAGCTTGTTGGCGTGTATGGTGCCCACTTAATTTTGTCTCCACGACGACCTTTCACGTTTTAAATTGAATACTCTAGTGAGATGTACTCGGAAACCGTTTACACGGCACGGCGGCCGTCAGGAGAGGGACTACTAGAGACTTCAAGTCGGAACAAACAAGTCTCTTTTTGATACTTTCGGGGGAACACAATATTATACAGTTTCTAAGTGACATGTGAAATGACGCTGATGTTTCAAAATACCGCGTCTTTTAAAGCTATGGGCGTTACATGATGGGCTGGTTCCCCACGCGAGAGCATTTACGCTGCTGTTTGATTACAGCACACAGCGAACGCCAAAACAGCAGCGTGAGCTCTGCTTCAGAGTGGATGACACGCCGAATGTAATACCGCAGCATCTGCATGCGTTATTGATTTTTCAATTGGAGACGTTAGACCAGCGAACCCTACTTCGAATGTTAGGTGATGCAGTTTTGTGACAAGGAAGTGTAAAATTTCTCAAAATGACGTACAACTCCCGTTAAGAGTCATTCTTCCTGATATATAAGCAACCTAGTCACTTTTTGCTAGGAACCTGACAAAATATACGCGCCTTCAAATTTATTCATCACTAGCCCTGATAATTTCTCGTGCCTATCTTGTCTTCTATTTTTGAGCGCAAGATCACAGTTCGGGTATCTGGCGGTCACTGCCGAAATATGCTAATTACTAGACTAACAAAAGCATAAACATCAAGTTGCAACAATTAGCTCAGCGCCTCCAGCTTTAGTCTTTAGGCTTATAGCTCGACCAATATTATCACAGTACTCTCTCAAAGCATTAGTGTTTCAATCGCTTGTGTTGCAAGAATATGAGACTTCCGTTATTGGTGCAGTTTAAATCACATTCGGCAATGGAAAGCGTACCACAGGCTTTTAAACAACGAAAGTTGGAAACTAGGTCCACACTATTTCCGTGCGCCCCAAGGCCAAACATACATCACTAAACTTTTGATTTTATTTTCAAGAAAATCAACGTAATGCAGCAGTTTTTTTTTTTGTGGAGAAAGCAAGGTGAAGATAACCAAAATTGTCAGTTTACCGCTACAGGACCAGCAAATGCTGTAAATTAGTGGGATGCACTCATCCTTCCACAATGCTCATTCGCAATCCCCTGACATTTGCATATTATTTGCTGAGCAGGTGTACGATGGTTTCAGTTGTATCCCCAGAGATATGCGGCAAAACCTAGAGATGTTAAAATTCATTATAAGGAAGCTTTCTAGTAGCACGACAATGTTCTTCGCAGTTCCAGTGAAATGGCTGCGTGTGCCTCAAGACGTTTCAGTGAGGGAGGGTGACAACACGACCCTCCGCTGTGAAGCGAACGGGACACCGAAACCGAACATCAGGTGGGAGAAAGAAGGTAAGCTATCAAGTTATCGTTATTTTCGTTTTTGTTTTTCCGGCGCTAAAATAAAACCGAGGCTTGCATTTGTACTTCAACCGATGCTGCAATTAAGGGTATAATAATCAGCGTATTCGTTTCTGCCCCTTCGCCCGTTTTCTCCTGTCAGGCAACAAACGCGTTACTACTTTACAATTCATGTGAACTAATACATTTTTACTTTATTTCAGGCACTCTGCTCAGTGCTGCACCTGGATCAAAGCTAGAGTTCCTAAGAACATCGAAAGCGGATGCCGGAACATACAAGTGCACCGCAGACAACGGCCTTCGGGAGCCACTCACTAAAGAAGTCCGTGTCTCTGTATACGGTACGAGAGATATGCCAGAAGCTATGCATAATTGGCAACTGAAACGCAACAAAAACACAAGAAAAACACAAGGAACAAGTGTTACAAAGCCTACAAACTGACAGTTGTCTGCAGAAGAGCTTTAAATTTCCTGTACTAAACGCTAGAAAGTGGCTTCTCTTCAGCGTTCTGCAACAGATGGCGACTCTGTACCAGCTAACGCCGCGGCAGACATCTTTTTTTGTCTGTGTCGCATAGAAGGCTTCGCCACAAGCCAAACAAGTCGCGTTGCAGTGCGATGTTTTCGTTGAGAACCACACCGAAAGAAACGATCCCGTTTCGAGTGTTTTTGCTCAGCTTCCTAGCTGCCCTGTGTTGCGCCGTACAGACCGGATCAGTTGGTAAGTATTACAGATTTGGCTTTAAATTTCATTTTTACCGTGCTTTGAAATAGTGCTTGTCTAAGCAGCGCGTAACTTACAGCCGACCGTCGTTCGGTAGGTAACATAACAGCATTTCAAATAAGCGTTGCCTGTGTTCGTAGAAATTCGTCCCCCCACCCCCCCTTAATTTTAACATTAATAACACATGGCGTTAAGCAGCAAAGATCTGCATTACTTAAAAACCCATATCGTTCGCGTTTCCGCAGAATGCAAAAGCGTAAGCAGCCTGCACATATTACCAATTAAAAAAAACTCACGTTACTTAAGAACAGTGTATTAAAACAAAGCTAGCGTAACAAAATCTGGACGTACACTAATAGACCGCGAGGACTACAAAGCATGCATGCACCAGCTAATGTAGTTATGAAGCAACTAGCAACGCCAGCGGCAGTAGAAGCTATTACTTTCACAAAAGCAGAAACAGCTTTTTAATCTGCTGCAGACGTAGCAATTTCAAGTTAGCTTGTGCCAAGTCGAAAACATAGTAAACAGCTTTACGCAATTCAACCAGCGAAATAAATCACAGCACGAGATCCAGATTCAGTCAGTTTACAAGAAGCATACGCACGCGAAAGCCGGCTGCAACAACAGATAAGAAAGAGATTGCAGCACAACGACAACATGCGCGATCGCAATATCAAAATTACCTTCAATAACTCAAACTTTCCAGAATTCAAGCTCCAACCGTTCCGCTTTCCTACCGACGCTGTTGAAGGAAGGACTGTTACAGTGACCTGCACAACGACGACCGCCATATCCGGCGTCGAGTACCGATGGTTCAAAGATAAGAAAAGGATTACCGAAAGTAGCAAGATCCGGCTAAGAACGTTCCCAGAACTTTCTTCCCTGATTGTTGGCCCTCTAGAAGAGAATGACGCAGGAAACTACACATGCCACGGGATTTACGATGGGAAGAAAGATTCATTTTCCGATTCACTACAAGTTCTAGGTATGACATACCTTTTTATTGATTTTTAGATAGTGTATGAAAACAAACCTGTTGTGAGACATCTTTTAGTCACGCTCCTTAGGCACATTATGGTTTTTTTTTTTCTTGTGCATTCTAGTTCCTCCAAGCTGGGTCGAACAACCAGAAGACACGATAAGAGTTATGGAAGGAGCAAATTTTACCATTCCTTGCCAAGCAAAGGGAAAGCCGCAGCCTACTGTGGCTGTCAAGAAAGAAGGTACGACAAAACTTCAGCAATGAGTCACTTCGGTTACCTGACCTTAAAATAGAGCGTCCAGTATAAGAGAACATTCTTTCTGCTCTAGATTATTATTCCGCACTACAAATCGTGAACAGTGGTGTAATTACTGTTCACGAATATCAACGCTTTCCCAGAATATATACGCTTTCCCAATGTTATCTTATACATTAAAACATGCGAGATCATTCTTTAGCAACTGAACAATCAGAGCTCAATGTATTGCAGGCTCTGAGCAAATCTGTCTGTAGCATACTATGAAAGTGAAAATCGTCTGAAAGTTAGATATGTACTATGAAGGCATCAAGCATTAGGAGAGAAAAGTTTGAGACAACCAAATATAAATTTATCAGATTCTGCAATGTTCTCTTTTAAATGCAGTTGACGTCCAATGTCACCCATATCCTGTTTTTTTTTTCTCGTTTTGATTTCAGGAAAAGATCACGTCCTAACTTCACATGTTCTTCAAATAAACAAGTCGGGGAAGCAGCACTCTGGTTTCTACATCTGTAAAGCCGACAATGCCCTCACACAACCACTGGTTAAGCGCTTTAAGGTTACTGTATACGGTAAGCATATATGAACAGGGTCATCGAACAAGAGATATGATGCAAAATAACGTGTAGTATCAGTTCAACTATGCATCTTCAGGCCCCAAGCTATCTTTGTAAGTCGCGCCGGCACCAGAGACGGTCATTTTCGTGCTAAACGCAGACCAGAGATGGCGCCAGAACCTTTGGTTACACCACGCCTACAGACGCTAGTTCCGCCAGGCGAGATAACGGACAATACGAGCTTTCGCAACGGGCAACAAGATGTGCAGTTCTATATCACAATTGCTTACAGCGGTATTCGGAGTAACCCTACTCGCTCTACAAGTTTCGTCTCGGCAGCACCACACCTATAGAGACCATCCAGGTAAGCACGCGTGAAATTCTTATTCAAAGCTTCTGGACCACCCTACATGATTTTCTGTTTCGATTGTTATAAGATTTCATTTTCTACGGGCACGTCAGTTGTACTTAATCTTTCATTATTATTTCAGGATCCCTGCAACTCCAGCCATTCTCCTTTCCCAGCAACGCTGTCGTTGGAAACACGGTCACTGTGACGTGCACCACGATCAGCCGCACGGCTAACGTCAACTTCCAGTGGCTAAAAGATGGCAAAGCGCTTGTGAAGAGCTCCAAAGTGGAGATAGTGCACCATCCGCTGTTCAGCACACTCGTCATTGGGCCGACAACTAAGGAAGACAGTGGGAATTACACCTGCGTCGGAAACATCGGTCAAGAAACGCACAGCCACTCACACCGACTCAATATCCTAGGTATTCACTTTCGTAACGTATTCAACCTTACTGGTCATATAGCCTATAAAGCTTGTCCTCGCAAAAACGCAAGAGGAAAGTCGGGAATGCTAACCTGCACGTCTTTTCAATTTCCCCTTGCTGTGTTTAAGATATTTTGCGAAGTAGCTTCACAAGCGCCTGTGACAAGTTCGTTAAAAAAAAAGAAAGGAAGGTGAAAAAATGCCGTGGTGCAAATTTGATATGTATTGTGCCAAAAAACAAAACGCTATTAAAGCCTTGACGTGGCTCTTCCCAAAAAAACCAATAAGTATGAAATAAGAACAGGTAGTAAGGATGGACAGGCGGCGTACCAACACTGCGATATTAAACGCAACAGTAAGCAATACGCTGCTTAGGCCGGGTAGGGGGGTGGGGGTACGCGTTAGGATTGTCTCAATTGATGCGCACTACTTTTTAATTCTTAATTTTCAAGAGCTCTTCGAAACTTAATGTTGGTACTCGCCCACAACAATACAAGCACTTCTCACACACAACCCCCCCACCCCTTCTTTATATATAGACAACAGGTTGACCTTGACTAATTTACATTGATCGACAAGTTGACCGACTTACGTCATTGAAGTACTGTTAATCATGCAGCCCCTCCCGAATGGGTCGTGGAGCCAGTGGATGTGAAGCTGCATCAAGGTGCAAATGCTACGGTCCCCTGTGAAGCTACTGGAAATCCTACTCCATCTGTCAAATGGAAGCTCACCAGCAAACATGGTTATGTGGAAACGTTTTTTTGTTTTTTTTCAGCATGTTATAAAGACGGTACCGAAATATATAGGATCCACATGAAAAAAGGGGGTGCAAGAAATGAGCGAATTAGAGCAAAGCCTTTCGTTATTTACATTAAAATCATCACATATGTTTCATATTCGTCAACAGCGTTAGGGAGAATATGACAGAAGTACTGTTTGCTTTAACGGCTCTAACCTTTACCGTAGACGTAGTAACCACATGAGAAACTAACTGTCTTGAAAAACATTACTTCTTAAAATAGTTATCAACTGAAAGAGTACTGTGGCCAGTTTTTTTACCGCACGAAACATACACAGACAAATGAGGGGGGATTTCACTCTAGATGATAATGTGTGAACGAAAGCTTCGGCATCCAACCAAAACGCAACAATGCGACAACAATACGTCAACTACCTCTCCACCCTTAGGTGGCAACAAGGAGACGACAGCAGCCGGCAAGAACGACCTGAAGATATCAAATGCTTCCAAGTTGGACGCGGGGTCATACGAGTGCACTGCAGACAACGAAGTCTCAGAGGCAATCGTTAAAACCATCGCGATCTCAATTTACGGTAAGATAGATTATAGCACAGCTCCAACTCATTTCTTGTTTGTACTTGCTCCTCCTTCTAATCTCCTTCGTTCTCAAGCGATGCACAGATAACCATACCACAACTTATTTCTTTGCAATACAGACAAGCTTTGGATGGCAACACAGTTTCTAAGCATAAAGTTTCTAGGAACAACAGGAACAGCGAGTCCCACCTTGGCGTTAATGAAGGTCATACCTGATACGTTACACGCTGCTTTTTTTACAGCAATACCTGTCTCGTATGAAAACAACAGGAACATTTTGACTCACACTTTTTAGAGTTTTCATCAACGTGTCGGTGCGTATTTCGAGCCTTAGAGGTGGCCGGCACGGATACTTGGCGAAGATGACCACGGAGGGCGCCACGGGTCCGCGAAGTGGACACGAACACTACGAGGACTACAATACATATTTCTCCGTGTTTATAACATTGTCTCGACGTAACCAAAGGAAGTAGTAGGCCGTGGGGTGACGCTGCCGCAAAGTTTTTACCCCAGATAAGCGAAGACCTCGCGAAAGGCTGCCCAAAACAAACCATCCGAAGAAACAATGCTTAGAAAAGTTTTGTCTCCAATACTTCTTCTTTGTTACGGTAAGTGAAGCTCGGAGTGCACTGACTCCTATTATTTTGAATTTGCATGTTTCCGCCGGCAAGGTGCCGTGATCTAAAAAAATGTAACCCTATACCAGGATTCGGGGAGGCCCTCAGGGTGCAACCTTTCACATTTCCACAAAACGTCGTGGAAGGTTCGAGAGTCAGCGCGACCTGTTCCCTGATGAGCATTTCCGACGGAACCCGCTTCAGATGGATGAAGAATGGCAAACAGATCAGCGACGACCCGCAAGGACGGGTCAAGACAAGAACGGAAGCCGACTTCTCCATGATAACCATTGGAGCAGTGCGTCAAGAAGACAGCGGAAACTACAGTTGTACGGCGGTGTCTAAGGGAAAGTCTGACACATACTCGGCCAGCCTTAATGTCTACGGTAAGTAAAGCAGCGCGCATCATTTTGATAGACGTAAAATAGTAGTGCATGCTTACTACCGTATCTAATGTAGCAACACACTAGTAAGTTAAACATTTCATATAAAGAACATCTCAGAACTGCATTGGATCATCCAACTATTCAGGCGGACAAAATGAAAAGCGTATCACATTGTGTTCAGAAAACAACCACCGTCATAGTCTAGCGGTTATTGTGCGCTACCACCAACCCGAAGGCCTGGGAATTGAATCCCAGCCATGGTAGCCGCATTTCGATGGAGGCGAAATGCTATAGGCTAATTTACTGAGATTTATGTGCACGTTAAAAAAACCCAGAAAGTCGAAACGTCCAAAGACCTTCCCCCACTCCCCTCCAATATGGCGGCTTTCATAACCATATCATGGTTTTCGGACGTAAATCTCAAACAATGATTGTTTAAACTTGAAGTTTCAATCCTGGCAACTACCGAAGAATTGGAATTTCGCAGAAAAAAAAAAGTTCAAGGAAAACTGTATGCAGGCCCTTGAATTTCAAAACAAGACATTATCAAAATGAGCAGACGCATGAATATTATAAAAAAAATGTGCAAATGTGCTAAGTAACGAGCCAATGAGATTATTCGTCAAGGTGAGTGACCCGCTTCCTACGCAACGCTGTTATCCCAACTTTATCGGGTCAGTTATTAGCCGAGTGCCGCTAACAAACAAGGTGGTGATAGCGCCCACATTTACTCCTTGCAGCAGTTCCCAAATGGACCGAGCGACCAAACGACGTACTGATCACGGAAGGAAATAACGTCTCGGTCAAATGCGCAGCATCTGGAAACCCTGTACCTGAAATTACACTGGGGAAGGTTGATGGTAAGACACGCTGAACGTGTATGCAAGAAATGGTAGGCGAAGTCGGGCTGGTTGTTCAACGTTCATGTACGCAAAAGCTGTAGCCTTTTTGTTGACAGTACAGTTACTACACCGCCACGGGAGTTTTAGTCAGCATCGCTTATGAGGTCGAGAGAAAATGATGACAATGAAGGCACACCTATTCTTCAATGCGGACTTACTCTTGTAATTGATCGCCATACACGTTTTTGACGTCCTTACTTCCTCTAGTAAGTATGAATCGGGATATACACAGTAATATAGACGCAGTAAAACCCACCAAATAGATAAACAAAGATGACCATTCAAAAACAATGTAGCGCCGACTTCACTAACATAAACTACTGAACCAGTAACTAAAGCATTTAGACATCAACTGTACAATGTGACAGGAGAGAGAGAGAGAGCATTAGTAAAGCTTAGCAGTGCCTTCCGAGGTTGTACTATATACAAATAAAATCCTAACATTCTAATTTACCGTGAAATCATTTAAAATAATCTCTCATAAATATTGTTTTCCCGAACATTTTCGCTGCTTGTTCATTATACGCAGGTGATGACTTATGAATTCGTTTCCAAAGCAACATCAGAGCACTTCAAAAAACCAGCCACACGAATAGCTACATCAAAATTAGCCTTGCATGTATATTAACTTGTACATCATTTTACTGTACGTATGTTTGCCTTAGTATGGACAGCTAGTCTACGCGGTATTTACTATTGCGCAAGATTTATGTAAATACTACAATTCAGTATTTATTTGAATACTGCAAGGTGGAGAAATTAGGATGATTTACGTGTTATTTCTTACGACTTCATTTTGCCGCGAGCATCCAAACGTTGTCATTTTTGTCTAAAGGCAAGTTTGATAGTACAGCGTCACGATACGCTAACGAATGACGAATCATCCTGTCATTTTCAGCTTCAATCATCCAATCCAAATCTCAAGGAAAGGGAGCCGCTACTCTGGAGATAACGAAGTCCACCAAAATGGATGCTGGGACATACTCCTGCACAGCTTCAAATAGTTTTGGCACCGACATATCAGAGAGCTTCTTCGTTAAGGTCTATGGTAAGAAAACTGACCGCCACCTAGATTACAATCTGGCAAAAAAGGCGTGCATAATGCTATTTTATACTGACACCACAAGCGAAATTTGGCGCTAACCGAACTTTTTTTCTCTTTACAATGGATGCCGTTAGCGCAACGACGTAACTGCATCGTTGACATACAGAGGGCGTTACGCATCTGTTAGCTTATTTTTAGCCGACCTGGATTCACGTATACAAACCGCACAAGCGTTGATCATGGAGCTTCTTCCGATCGTGGTAATCGCGTCCGTCATGTCTCACCCATCTGTTGCCGGTAAGTGATCTTCGATGACTGGAAATTGGTGTAAGGTGACTGTGAGAAAGTCACGCATTTACGATGTTATTCTTTGCAGGGCGCATCAACGTGGTGCCCTTTTACATACCGGACAAAGTCATGCTTGGAGATACGGTGAAAGTTGTGTGCTACACAAACACGGAGCAAACGCCTTTGTCGTTCAAGTGGATGAAGGACGACAAATTACTGGCCGCCGATGAGAACGTCCGCATAAAGACGCAAGCCGACCTGTCGACGATGATTCTGGGCCCTGTAAAACCTGTTCACCGAGGAAACTACACCTGTCAAGTATTCACGCCAGAATCTAGCGGATCGTACACGGCTACACTAGTAGTATACGGTGAGAAAACCCTCCGAGTATCCATACTAGCAATCATGAAATATCATTTGTCCTGTGCATTAGGAAAAATGAACCAAATGTGAAGTGAAGTTTATTTACCTTTCATATAACAGAGGAAGCCATGGTTCAAAGCTGGAGGGCCTGACAGAGGCTTCGGCTCCCTTGTACAGCCCGACACCGCTAAACGCAAACACATAATCGCAAAGTTGGCTGCGTTTGCCAGACATGTATTCACGAATTGAGCTACCTGCAGTACTCGTTGCGTGTGAGGGAGCCGAGTGCATTATACAGCTGTGAAGGAAAACCTATTCGCGCCAAAGAGCCTGAAATTTAACGAGCAAAGTAGTAAAGACAGGTCAGGTTACCTGTATACGGGAAATACCAATTCTGCACCGCATGAACTTTCCGGAACGTTTGCTGTTGCGTTGTCAACGTAAGATATCTGTCGCTGCTGTAGCCAAGCCAGAGGAGATTCCAAGCGCTCCCTGGCCCCTCCCACGCGAAAGAAATTTCTGGCTACCCCCTAGTATCTGACACTTTGTAATTATAGTTACTCATTGCAGCAAAGATGCAGCACTCCTATATGGAGCTACAATTTAATTCTACCGGCGTTCCTCGCTATATCATTATTCCCTTGCAAGCAGGCGGTCGATTCTTAAAATGAACTATAAATTTACCAGCTGGCGTTTACTTAAGACTCGGAGCTCGTATTCATGCGGTCCACCAGTCTTGAAACCTCAGGAACTTTGGAATTAGTGTAATAATAATTAGTGTAATTAGTGAATTAGTGAATGTGAACGGATGCTCGTAGTGGCCGACACGTTCTGAGATTCGATTTGTGCGCATAACATAGCAAAACCGTAGTCAAAAGCTGAAATAAAAGCACTCAGCATGACTCATGCACAGCTGCGTTTGATGCAAGCAACGCTTTGCACATCTGGTTGTTTATGGGCCTTTTATCAGTCACTGGGAGAACAAGCCGAGATCATTAGGCTACGTAAACAAGAATATAACCGTTTTTTTTTTTCGCAGCTCCTCCCAGCTGGCTTGCAGAACCAGCTGACCAACGTGTTGCAAGAAATTCGAATCTAACAATTCACTGCTCAGCTTCTGGGGAGCCAGCACCACGAATAACCTGGATATTTGCGAGCGGTAAGCAGATGTGGCCATTTTGAGCTCTCTCATTTTTTTCCGCGTCACGTTAATGCTGTACATTTCTACGACAGGGTCAACGAAGAAGCCTCTTGATGTAACACGCGACGGAAGCCTTCAGCTTACGAACATCCGGAAAGAAGACCAAGGAATTTACTCCTGCCGTGCGAGCAACGAAGTCGGGAATTCCCTGGAGAAAGCCATAACGCTGACTGTCACTGGTAACACATACCCCAGAGGGCTACTGCCCTTTTTGTAGCAGCGGCAGGCACACACGAAAACAACTGACGCGCAAAAGCTACCGCTAAGCGTTCACCTTACCTCAAAATCCAATATCGAGGCACGATACCGTATGACGTGGCAGCAAAGGCAGCCTTGGTGCGGTTTGCTACTGCTCTGGTCACGCAAATCTTTGTACTGTGCTGTTTTCATGATGCTTAGGACACAGCATGAGCCTCAAGTTCCCGACATAAAAGTCCTCACCCCAAACATTATTCCAAACGCAAAGTGAAACTCTATAGAAAGTCACAATGCATTCAAGCTTAGATGTACTAAGCACCATAGTAACTTACAAATATTACTTCACCTCAGCGATATTTAGTGCATTCTCGCCTCCATCATTTTTTCTTCCTTCGCGTTGGACCTGGTATTCCGACACCGAACTACGACAACGTCTTTGGCTCCACCACATTCACAAGCTGCAAAAACAATGGCAGTTTCTCGAGCGCCAATAATAGTCACTGCTGAAAATGTTTTATATGACAACTAGCTGTAGTTATAAACATTAGCAGTCCGAACACGAGCCATCCAATTTATCACACAATCGCAATAATTTCTCCACTCGTCTGACCGTCTAGCAGCGCCGTTTTGTATAAAAGGTATCACGAATTCCAAACTGAATAATGGCTCTGCAAACTCACGGTGGTTCAGCAGTCAGTCGACAGATGGCGGAAAGACCGTAGCGTGAACTAGAACGACAGCAGGAGTGCGAAAAGCAAAACAGCGATACAGTTTAATCGTATCGTCACTCAAGATGTTTACAGTACCGCTTCGAGCACTGATTTTTCTGCTGTTGCACTCATCTTTTCAAGGCATCCACGCAGCAGGTAAGAAAGTTTCAAAATGCTCTGAAAGTCACCCCGGAATCTTAGCAAAGCGTATTTCAGTGCTTCACTCTATTCATTTCAGAGCCGCTTGAAATTCAGCCAATGGTGTTTCCGAGGAACTTAAAGGAGGGAGCCAAATTTAGGACCATTTGCTCGGAAACTGGTCGCGCTCCTTTCACGTTCAAGTGGCAAAAGAACGGTTACGGTCTTCCACAAGACGACCAGGTGACAACGGAAAACGCGCAAGACTATAGCATTCTTGCTATAAAGAAACTGCGCAAAAGTCACGCTGGAAACTACACGTGCATTGCCATGAACCGTGGTGGTGCTACACGTCAGACTTCCGAGCTAATCGTGAACGGTGAGAAATATTTGAATCTGCATTCGTCGCGAACAGCGTCGTCCCCTTACGTGCAGTCATGAAAACCGTAGTAACCTTGCTACGAGCGTCAAGTCACTTTTCCAAGCGCAAGGCAAAAACAGGTTATCTACTGGACCTGTTCTGATATTGTTATTTTTTTCGTTGTCTCCATTAACGTTACATGGTTCGATCATAAGTTCAATAGATTGACAGAGAAAATTCAACACTGCAACTTGCGCACCATAATATACGCGGAAGTGTCTGAAATGTCTATTCAGCCCTAACACAACATAAAATAAAATTTCGCACCCCCCCCCCCCTTCCCTATAAATGAGCAACAGACATGTTACATGAAAATTCTCACATGATAGAAACCTGTGGTGTGCCGACGTTGAAGTCTAGAGAACTTCTCAATACTGCTCGGCTTGAAGCAGCACACGACTACCATAAATGTTTCAAGCAAAAAAAAAAAAAATAAGCGTGCAGCACTTCCAAATATATGTTACACTAGAAGACCCAGATCCACTTTCAAAGAAAAAGGAAACATGTTCGTAGACAACGCTCAGAATTCGTTAAAATCAATTAACAGTATTAGAACCTGCTCACAATCCCCATGAAATCATTTTCCTAAAAATGTACTGCCCGGTATTGCCCACAAAATTTATTTCATCAACGCACATCAATTTCAGTAAACGCCACTAGTTGCGCAGCGAATCATTTCTACATGAATTATTTGTGCGAGCGACGCGGACAGTTGTTTCTTCAAGTCTGTTGGGCTCATACGAATCCAAGAAAACAATATTTTTCAAAAATGCATAACACGAGCTTGTAAGCTAGAATATTTGTATATGCATATAATTACGTTTTCGTACTTTTCTTTTCTCGTATCAAATCTGTACATGATACAAAACCTGCGGTGCAGCTTATCAGTGATGATTGAACGTTTCTATTCATTGATCGATATGTGGGGTTTAACGTCCCAGAACCACCATATGATTCTGAGAGACACCGTATAGGAGAGCTCCGAAAATTTCGACTACTCGGGTTCTCTAAAGTGCACCCAAAGCGCAGCACACAGGCGTACAGTATTTTCGCCTACATCGAAAATGCAGAACGTTTCTATTCAGCACAGACACTATGATGAGAATAAAAACCATTGCAAAGCTCTACAAATTATTTCAAACATGCTGCGTATCATCGTCCGTTCTGATCGCCACAACCATACAGCCTCAGAGACTAATTTGGTGATAACTGACGGAGAATGATAGCAAGGGAAAGTCACGACGGCAACTCGGCTGTAATTTTCACGTTAAGGTTTCCTTGACAATCGGGAAGCGTTTACGACTACGTCAGGTTCTTGTACAACATAATCCCCTTCTTCGAACAAAAAGACATCCGTACTCAACCTATCACTTTTGCACGCAAACAGCACCACCAGCATGGACGATCGAGCCAACAAGTGGTGTGGTCTTGCTCGGAAGCAAGCTTGAACTTGAATGCCAGAGCCACGGCTATCCCGACCCAATCGTAACATGGACAAAAGGTAAGCGTACTTTGCGCGTGTCATAGCACTGATACTGAAGCTGTGCAACCATTTCAGCTGGCGCCGCAGGCGGTCAAGTCATCTCCGACACCGTCAATGGAACACTCCGCATTCAGAACGCAAGCAGGACCGATGAAGGCAGATACGTGTGCACCGCAGCAAATAGGCACGGAGAGCGCATTGAGAAAGAGGTCGAAGTCAGAGTTATCGGTAATGTATGATCTAGATTAACGACGTTTACTCATACAACGCCTCAAATTTCGCTTTTCGTCTACTCTGAAATCCATATAAAGAAACTGAACACTTATTTTGTCCTTTCCTTCCAGGTTTAGCCTGCACCGAAGCGACCGCTTATTGGCTTGTACATTTCTCAATAAAAACGAAGTTCACTTTGAATAGCATCTATAATCCAGCATTCACACCACAGATAGTTTATTAACAGAGCATTATACTATGCATGAAAGTGTTTTGGAATGAAACTTTAAACGACGTATCAAGAATCGTTCAAGAATTTTAAAATTTACTAACAAGACCAAAACGTGCGTTTCTGCAGAATTCATGACACACGCACACACGCGCCTACCTGTGAATTCTGCTGAAAAAAAAAAGCGTTCGTTTTTTTTTTATTTACAAAGTTCCCGCTCGGTTCGAGGAGAAGTTCAAGGTGCAAACTGTTCGTCGCGGAGAAGCGGCGACACTTCAATGCCAGGCTCTAGGAGATTCACCGCTGGAGATCACCTGGTCCCAAGACAAGAAGCGACTCATATTCGCTCCAGTGACAAGGTAAGCGTTAAAACCTGTTATCACGTGCTATTTCTATGGATAACCTTTGAAAACGTACTAAAAATTTACCATGATCCTGTTATACGCCAGTAAGAACGTAATCACACAGATCACTTCAGCACGTTATACAGACATCCAGGATAAGTGGGCGCGTTTAGTTTACACTTAGCAAAGTTTGACGCTATAAAGCGACCAACTATACCGCATACACCATCTTTGCGTGTCTAAGTTATGTTTCCGAGGGTTAAGAGACAAACTTCACACGATGATTTATGAATTTGCCTAAGACGCCTCAACGGCAAAAACAATCCTTTTTTTTTCAGACGATTGATTTGACGATTGCATTGCTTTGGAGACTAGCGGCGGAGGCAAAAAACCTTCAGTATCTCCGAGATCACGGCAACTGAAAGCTTTGCGCCCACTGAGTGGCTTCGCCGTGCCTCCGGGATGAGCCCACCATTGCTCAAGCTATGTGATGACGTCACGATGAAGCCCCAAGTTTCGGCGACCTGCGATGTCATAGTGTGACGCCACCATATTACGATGAAGTTTCGCATCACTCTTGTTTACGTAGTGGATTCCCACGGTCGCCATCCGAGTTTGAAGAGGCATCTAAAGATTCCGTCTTAATAGCTAGGCCGCCACCTTTCGCAAAGATCGATTTTGGCTAACGGTTCATTGGGGAAAATGTGCACTATTGGAAGGAAGAGTCGAGCTCCTGCCAAGAAACTAGCTCCGTCAGCTCGACATTCAATTCGTGTGCAGGTACGAAAAGTTCGAGTCGAACACGGAGAACGGCGTGACCTCGGAGCTAGTGATTCCGACGACAGACAGGAGCGACGCGGCCCTCTACACCTGCGTCGCCAAAAATGAGTACGGCAGCGACGAGAGAAACATCAAGCTGCTCGTCGTCGGTGAGCTATATTACTGTGTCTTTATTTATTTACTTTTAGTTGAAACACTTCAATCGAAACTACATGTTTAATCGAGGTCTGGTCATCGCATCCGCAGAGGTCCCGTCTCAACCGCTGGACCTTCGTATCCTGGAAGTCTGGAGCCGCAAAGTGAACGTCATCTGGTCGGAGCCGTACAGTGGGAACAGCCCCATCAACAACTACATCGTCCACTACTGGAGGGACAAGGGTATGACGCTCAAAATTCTTCCTGGATGACCTCACGGAATCGTTGGAAAGGAGCAACATGAATTCTTAAGATAGTGCTCCTACTAGCAATATTAGTTATTGTGCTCAGTGCTATCACAACCCGGTAAAAACGCATTCAGCGAGAGCCCACGGTGAAGACAGACATTTGGTATTGGAAATATTCTGTCGTAAACTATACACACACTCAATCGCAGATGCAAGCTTTGTTAAAAAGTCAGAACTTGCACAAAACTCGCAGCTGTTAAAAGCAAGAAGAATTCGATAAAGATCAGGTGTGCTGCTCTCACGAACATTCATTGCTTATATACTCTTCATTTGTTGTTGCAACTGAAGTCGAAGCCACTCATCACTTGAAGTAGAGGCAGATGTTCGCGAAGTAGCTGAATTACTAACGCGCACTTTTATTGCCTACATCGAACGCACATAGCCGGTTCATTGATACTAGAAACATCGTTATTTGGAAATTTTGGCGCTACAACGGCTATTTTAACCCGAAAAACTCTGCGTTTATAGCTCTGGCAAGAGTTACCGAAGCCAAAAAAAAATTCTCAATGAAACACAACAGGCCTGCTTTTATCTCCAGCTTAGAATCACAGCTTTTTTTATTTGTGGGGTTTAACGTCCCAAAACCACGCTATGATTATGAGAGACGCCGTAGTGGAGGGCTCCGGAAATTTCGACCACCTGTGGTTCTTTAACGTGCACCCAAATTAGTATCACAGCTCGAAAGCCCCTCAGCTAACTTCGAAAATACCATTTTGCATTGTTAGAGCACACTCATAAACACACTTAATCTTCTTCCCCTCATCGCTGTGCGTTTTGCGTGCTGCACTCTGACACAAAGCGCAAAATGAACTCGAGGATGCGGCACCCATCGTTGTTACGCGACCCCTATACTCCCAAATAATAAATTCGTACGCTCACTCCAATCATTGTATTCAAATTCGCGCTCATCTAAAATCAGCGGATGTTTGCACCGAGTGGTAATCGTGCAACTCCCCATTCATACTGCCTCTGACGCGCGCCTTGCGTTTGCCTCGCAGACGGCGCTCATCGCCTCATGGAGCAGAGCGTGCCGAGCAGCCAGACTTCGGCCATGATCAGCGAGCTTCATCCGGGCGCTTCCTATTCTCTCACCGTGACCGCCGAGAACGAAGTGGGTCAGGGTCCCCCCTCGGACCCGGTGCGCTTCCTCACCGCCGAAGAAGGTGAGTCAGCACGCCCTGCGTGCAATATGCATCACAAAGGCAGGCGAATCTCGCTTGCGTTTCAACGCGCTACACCCGCGTACGATCACTCACTCTCAAAGGTGGCCCGGACCAATTCGCACCTGCCTCACAAGCCGGTCCTTGCAGGCTGCCCTGTACCGCTGCCAACAACTCTCGTAACCTTGAAAATGACTTAAGCGATGGTGCGCTGCTATGATGATCCGTATAAGTTCACAGCGTCGGAGTAGTAGCGGCTAGGAAGGTAATGAATGGTGAAATTGCTTTCGGTATTTATGATAGCGGCCTATAGGCTACTTTCAGTCGCCCTTCACGAACAGCCTTTGCGTGACTTTACAACCATCGCTCTTTCACTGAAATGAACGGCCGATGGAAAGATAAAGAAACATAAACAGCCGAAGAAATGCCATATAATGATGATCAATGGCATTTAAGGGAGCAAGGTTTTGCTTACGGCTAAAGAGCACCAATACAAATGAGGAGGAGCAGAGAAAATTATTGAGTGGATGGAAATGTGTGGCGAATGGGAATGAGCAGCTGTAAAGTAGGTGTATTACATGGGCTAAAAACATGCGCTCTAAATAAGAAGTACAGATGCTAAAATTATGAATACGACGCGAAAGGTTAAAGTCAAATATGGCTGTAAGCTACCCTAAAGGGATTATAGATAAAAAATTGTGACAGTGATACGTCAAGTGCTATACGACTGTCGAACACATGACAGGCAATCAAACAATGCAAGAGTATGAAACAGAACGAATGCGCCTTGAAGGCCTTTGAGCTCAAAAGGCCGAGATGCAGCCGATTTGTTTTAATGCAACTACCGAAGAAGCAACCTACGTTAACAGGCCGTGCGTACTTTAAGGCCGAGCCTTCCTGTAGAGGCAATAATAAGAAGGGGACATTTCACTACATGCTCAAGCAAGCAATGCCACCTCTGCCATCGCCTACTTCATTGTCACTTTTTTTTTCCATTGAGAGCAACATAAAACCTCGCTAATTTGTGGTATATGTTTACGTTGCATTCAGAGCCCGGTGGATCACCAACCGACGTCTGGGCCGCCGCCAAGGGACCTACATCCATCGCCGTTTCGTGGAAGGTATTCTGTTGCATCTATCCCTTTCCACGGACGTAGCGCATCGCTTTTCCTTCGAGGTACTGAATGCACGCCAACCTGTTGTGCCGGTAACATAAATCAGAAGACAATGAAACGTTCCCTATCGACACAATAAACGCCTATAAAACACGCGCTTCAAGCACAATGCCTTTATTGTATTCCTAGGCCCATACGGGTACGCGTGTATGTGCTGATGTCTCTCTCTCTCTCTGTGTGTACACATCTAGATCAGCTAGCGTTCAACTTTGATATTCTAGCAGGTGAAACCGTTGGCCCAGATCAATCTCATCACGTACTCATCCATACAAATGCCGAGGGATTATTCAATACAAATTAATCCGACGAAGCGTTAACAGGCATCACATAGAAGAATACAACGTGTACATTAATGTTTTAATTCGTAAGAATTAGGGGGCACAAAGTGCGAAAAGTGCACAAGTTGGAGGGAACCTAAGTGTCGGCATGTGGCTGGCCTGCCGTACTTCCTGGATTACAACCAGCACTATTATTTATCGAGGCAAATATGTGTGATTGGGTGCAATGCTAATGCATCTCTCTCACGTTTACTGCAAAGTGCCTAATAAATCTTTTTTTTTTCTTTTTCGCATAGCGTTATAGTTTTCGTGAGATTAAGATAATGTGCGACAAACCGTATCACGGTCACTTTTAGAGCTCACAATAAGAACACTGACTGATAAGACAGAAGCGGACACATTTGGAAGTTGGAAATGTTGGAACTTAGTTTTGTGTTCAGGTCGTTCTTTTCAGTCCTTGTTGCTTTTGCACGCTCTAAAAGTGAACATGAGTTACCAACATGCTACCAAGCAGCAACTATATACTTCAGCCAATCACGCGTTGCTGATTGCTGAAGTATATATATATATATATAAGGGAAAGAAGTGTATACCTAAGGGCTCGTTTTTCCGTGTTTTAACACAATATTAATGAGATATAACAGACAGTAATGCCAAGGAATGTACAGGGGAAGTTATTAAAATCAATGGAATGTAAATAAGAAGAAAGAAAAGTGGATGAAAAAATTACCAACTGTGAGCAGGAAACGAACCTACGACCTTCGAATTACGCGTTCATATATATATATATATATATATATATATATATATATATATATATATATATATATTATCACTCGGTATTTGTAGCCCCCACCACGAGACACCTGGAATGGCGTGCTGAAGGGCTACTACGTGGGTTACCGGGCGGCCGACTCCATCCAGCAGCCGTACTCGTTCAAGACGGTCGAGACGGTGGTCAACGGGTCTCAGGAAGTCACGCTCGTGGGTCTCACTAAGTCGTCGCGTTACAGCGTCATCGTCAAGGCCTTCAACGCCATCGGAAGCGGACCGCCCTCGGAAGCCCTGCTCGTACGCACGCTGGATGGTGGTTAGTGCAGAACACAAGTCCATTCTGAATAGAGCCTAAGATCCTATGATCCCATGGATTCCCGTAACGGGGAGCTTGGAGGTCGTTTTCGCTTATTCCAGCGATTTAGTAATATGTATAGGCTGCTACTAACCAAACTCCTAAACGCTATGACTGCATGGCGCTGTATACGCAAGTATATACATTCACAGTGTCCTCTGTCTCTCCCATTTATATATGGTTTGCTTCCGAAAAACGCGGTCATATGGTTTGCTTCTAGAAAACGCGGTCATACTTCAGTCCGAAAATTCTGGCCGTCTCATTAAGTTAACGTATCAGTGCGCAGACTGAAATAGTCCTTAAATTCTAAACATAACTCCTGAAGTTACACCACTACGTTAGACTCATCTATGCTTCGCCATATTACACACACACTGACAGTGTGAGGATACAAAGCGTATGCTCATTATGTACTAATATTTGAGCGCCCCGTATCATTATTCCCGCAGATGTGCCACTTCCTCCGGCACTGACCCTGATTTCCAGCACCGACTCAGCCTTCAAGGTGAAGTGGACTCGCTCGAAGGCCACCGTCGCTCCCGTTACAGGTACTTCCGTCGAAAATTCCTGCGGTCAATACAACATAGAACAATGGCTTTAGATACAATATGATTAACTGACTGATTGATTGATTTTATTAGTGAGTGAGTGAGTGAGTGAGTTAGTGAACAAGTATGTTTAGTTAAAAAGCTTGTGGTACTTTATAAGGCGCTTCCATGTACACGGCGCGAAGCTCAATGTATTTTTGTTAGAACTCTTAATACTGAAGGTTGTGTTAAATACACGAACGGTCAAATAATGAGGGCATTTGAAGTGCATGCATTTACGCTTCATTGAATGCAATGGCTGCCAGTGCCGCAAACAAGTGTGGCAACCATTGAGACTAGAAAGAACTCCCTTAATGAACACCTGCTCAATAGGTATTATTATTATTATTATTATTATTATTATTATTATTATTATTATTATTTGTTGTTGTTGTCGTCGTCGTCGTTGTGGTGGTGGTTGTTGAAAACTAACAGGTCCACATTTTTTTTTCGTCAAATCAATGAAAGCATCGTACTGACAGAATACTTCGGTAATCAGAACCTATGCAATACGACTCCTTACAGCACCTTTTGAATAGCCTGCAGGCAGTGAGGCAAAGCGCATTTTATGCAAACGAAAGCTAAGCAAAGAAAGAACGCAAGAAAATACCAATAACACATGTCGACCAAGTGTGGCGCTCTCCTAGAAAGTCAATATACCAAGTACCCTACACACTAAACGAAAATGACCTGAAATAACCTCAAAAATCCGGTAAACCATTTGTCCTCTAGCGCACTACCTTTCCTGTTTTTTTTTTTACCACCTACTATCAAAGTAAAATTTTACTCTCGTGCTGACTCAGTTTTTGAACATAGGAAGGGTAGTAATTATTTACCTCAATGAGGTTTTGAGCGAGTATAGAGAGTAAATTTTTACTGCCTTCACAAGATTTTTGAGGTGATTTCTAGGAGTTATTTCCGGTGGTAAAAAAAAATAAAAGTTGACGTGTGCATTCGCCAAGAGTCGACAAATATATGAAATATTAAATGACGGCAAAATTGATGACACAGATTCACATACAGACAAACACACACACACAACAAACACAACAGAATAAAAAAACCACTCGAACAGACTGCACGCGTTACTTGACTGCACTTCGACAATCCGGTATACATAGGCACGACTTTTTTACCGGCCGTGTAGTACCGGTAGGAGAGCTGTTTTTTTTTCTTGCATCGATTAACAACAACGGATAAATGTGCAAGCGTAAACAAGAGGTGGGCTGCAGGCCGCTGAATCTCACACCGTCCTTTTATTATAAATCTACCCGACTTCACATTTTTGATTATCCAATGATTACTTGGCACACCGGGCTCTTGGCCCCACACATGTTAGCACTGCTGATGCACAAGTCCATAAAATATACCTAAGTACACACAAACCATGGCAGCTCAATGATTTTCATTGAGCGACGGGGCACCAACACAGTAGCAGCACGTGTTCATGACATCGGGCGTAGAAGAGCGGTGCACGCCTGCATACAAGCTGCTTACCAACGGCGTACTAGGCCTTTTCGAGGAGCACGGCTATGCGATGAAACACAGCTGGCGATCACAGAATACATATCCTGTGCAAATTTCGTCATCATTTAAGACACAAATGAACACGTGTCCGCTATCTGCAGCCTTACGGGGACTGGGCGATGTATGTACTTCCAACGAAAGAGACGAACCACCATCTCGGTTTTCTTCGTGCTCCCCGGCAGCCGCTTGTTGGTTCCGTCTGCCTCGCTTGGCTTCGCGCTACATGTTTGAGAACAGTTGGCGCATGAGGCGGGCAATTAGGGCAGCACTTTACTCCAGCAGACATCGCCTTCTGTGGAAAGATGTATGCGATGCTTCTTTCACCTGCCCCGGTGACACACTCCCACTGGTCACTGGCGGCCGCGGCTCGGTGCCGACGACAGAGTAAAGCGTTTTGCTTATTGCTTCTCAAGGAAGCAACCACGGACGATGACACTATATTGATTTTGTTACTACTGGCAGATATTCGCGATTCGGCACGGAAGCGAGATATCCGTGACGTGCAGGTTCGGAGGCACTCGGAAGCGCACGGTCACTCGATGATGTAGAAAACACGTGCATCCATCAGCTCAACCAGACACAGATCCCGAGCTTCTTGCACCGCCTGTCTCCAGGGCCATTTCAGAGCAAAAGCCAGCAATTTGCGAAAATATGCAGGACAACTTTCCACAGCAGATGTTTCTTTTTTTTTTTTTGAGAGAGCCCCCTTCCATCTCAATCCCCCCCCCCCCCCCTTTTTTTTTTCGCTCACAGAATGCTGTCCTCACTCGTAGTGCTTATGCTGCCCCCAGTTCCAGTGAAAGTTCGTTGACTCGAGGTCAGTCATGAGACACGACGATGCCAAAAAAAAAAAAAAAAATCTGTGGTCTTCGCGTACCTTCAGGATTCACTGAGAGCGTCACTATAGTGAAGTATGGGGCAAAAGCCACCGAAGCCGCTGCAACTTGCAGTCACGTGGTAATAAACCCTGAAACGCAGGTTAAAAAAAAACACGTGATAGAAAACTCCCTACGTGATAAAACTGGATTTTGACATCCTTTTACTACGTGCCTCAGAGGTTGTGGTAAAACTATGTCATGTACCATCTTTTACTCCAACACGAGGCAGTAATTTTAAACGCGAGAGAGCTTTCAGAGGTCATGAGCCGCAAAAACCCCAAACTCGGATAGTTTTCGCTTACAGTGTATTCGTCCTCCCTTACCAGGCTACACGCTGCACTACAAGAAGAACGCCGGTCCCTGGCATCATATCCCGGTCGTGGCATCAGATGACACCAGCTACACGCTTACTGACCTAGACGGAGGTGCGACGTACAAGGTGTACCTCACTGCCTCCAACCAGTTTGGTCGCGGGTCCGGCAGCGAAGCCATCATCATCAACACCACTAACCACGGTATAAGCACTCTTTGTGGAACACGTCACGTTATTTAACGTGTAACTTGCGTAGGCGTCTCTGTTTGTGCAAGGAAACGACGAAGAAATAGAGGGAGGTATGCCTCCTCGCTATATTGACAAAGCACTGAGCGTATTCGCGGCTACCGTCATCCGCCAAGCGAAACGGCAGCTACACGTAGTTGCTTTACTAGTACACTAGCATCAAAAATAACGTTTTATGAAGTAATCGAAGCGCGAAGTTTACACTTGACACAGCGCTCGTGTATATAGGAGACAGAAATTGAATAGCTCCAGTGAAGAAAAAAAAGCTAGAACTCGACAGAGATGGCCGCTGAGTAAAGATTTTCAGCGAGAAATTGGTTACAGATTGTCTCTTGGTTGTGATAATGTTTACAATAGCGCAATGACTCACTCATGAGGTACAAAATATAAAGTGGCCCATTTTACTTGAACTTATTCGTTTCCTAATCAGACGTCGGCTCCAAAGCAATGCAGACCACCGGTATCAAGCAAAGAAAGAAAAGAAAGAAAGAAAGAAAGAAAGAAAGAAAGAAAGAAAAAACGATAGAAAGAAAGAAAGAGAAAAAAGAAAGAAAAAAAGAAAGGGAAAAAAGAAATAAAAAAAGAGAGAAAAAAAGAAAAAAGAATGATTTCTGCTCAGATGGCGGTCAACAACGACTGAACCAGTCGACCCCGATTAAAATGCCCGTTTAACTAGCGGATTATAACTTAGTAAAATTTTATTACGTGATCTGGCAGCATTCAACCGAGGTTTCTTAGCGTGAAACATCTGCCTGGCGTAACCGTGATGGGTTTCAGCAACGTGTCATACTGCTGCGCAGGACACGACCGTAATTGGGTATTCTACAAAGATCCCTCTCTGCTGGTTCCTGCTGCATCCTTCCTCATTGCCGTCCTCGTCGTCATCACCGTCGTCACCGTTTGCATCAAGAAGACCAAAGCGCACAAGAACTTTGAGAAATGTGAGCACTTCATTACCATATTTACTAACAGTGATGCTAAGTAGCCCTAGTAAGGATGAGCAGAACGCAAAGAAAAGTAGCGAAAGTATTCGAATGAGCCATCGGTGTTAGACCTGTTAGACAAGCCTACAGCGTATCACAGAAAGTCGTTAGCAAACAATTTGTGAATAAAATCTGAACAGAAATAGAAGTGATACCGAGCGCAGTAGACTCACACGGTGAACTCGTCAAAGGGGTGTTTCTTTATTAAAGTGCATAGACAAAAAATGCTCTTCATTGCATTTGTGCAATGTTCGTGTTTATTAAACAATAATACAGAAACTAAAACTCTACACTGCCCAAAGTTATGACTCTAGATGAGAGTAAAGAATAGAACGGTACTTACACATGGCTTTGGCACGGTTGACAATAGTTACGACTTCGTCCCGCTAAAATGTTCCGAAAATGGCTCACTTCATGCTGGTCATGAACATTGTGTTTTGCAACGCGTTTTTGTTTTTTTTTTGGTTTAGTTCATTTTGTAAAATTCGTGCAATAATTCTACTACTCCTACATTTACGTCACCTATCTTGCCACGTCTACATTTACAATTAATGTCTGTGTTTATCTAAACATACCCGTATGTTCACACACATACACAAAAAAGCACCACTCTGGCGTATCGTTCTGTAATGCGGAAATAAGAACAACTACTAACCGTCAGCTCCGGTGCTCCGCTCGCAGCGCTGGAAGCGGAGAAGCGCCAGAGCTACGGCGAGGTGACGCAGCAGCAGCAGCGCTACATCGACGTCACAGAAAAGCGCAACCGCTCCGACTACGCCACCATCCAGAGCCGGAGGAGCCTCTCCGGTAGCTACAAGATCGAGGAACTACGCTCGGCGGCACCAAACAGGGGATACAACACGACGGACGTGAGTCAGAATATCTCGTTCCATTACCACAAATTGCGGCGATACCCTACCACCTGCTAAATCACACGTGCCGTATCTTTTCCTTCTTTTTCCGAAAAGAGCCAAGTCCATTTAAACTAAAACAGAAAGAAAAATGTTTTTTTTTTTTTTCAACTGACAATAAGGTGGCACCTGCTCTAAACTTTTTTGGGCAGTATGCTTAAACGCCAAAATATCTCTATTGTATATTTCGGCTGTAAATATAATGGCCCACTATCATCGGTATTCATTACGGAGTAAAATTTAGATTTGGCTCTTATAGATGGGAACATTTTATGAGGCCGTGAATCAGCTCGTAAAAGGAGTCTAGACAACACGGAACGAACGATATGGCAGCGGTTTGTGTCAGTGTTAACACCATCCTTGACTTTCCATCGGGGCCGTGCTTTGTTGCATAGAAAAGCCCTAAGTAAAAGGCGCACTATTCTGAATTGTCTTCTGACGCACTATTCTTCACATCTATTAAAACCCTTAGGAATGCTTCAACTCTTCTTCTTAGCTAGTTTTATGCCACACCGATTCGAAATTCTTCTTCAAGGATTAGGTTTGTGTCTAACGTCTTCGTTTCAGCTATCCTCCATTTCAATTATACCGTCCTAAAGCGTCCTAAAGCCAAATAAGGACATAACACTGTCACGCTAAAGACCCCTCCCCCCCCCAAAAAAAACAAAAAAAAACATGGTTGATCTCCCGTCATAGGAATCGGTATAACACGAAAGTATAACGTCTCCTTACAGAAGTCATTGATATAAGAGAGCTCATACAATGTCTGCTGGTGTTCGACAGCCAAAACACCGTTTTTCGCAAATGCATCCACGTTGACGCTTGGCGATACATCTCCATACCAACGACTAACGTCCATGAATAATCATTGATTAATGATTAAACACTCCCTAGTGGTTATGGGTGCCAAGGGTAGCTGTAGTAGTTAACGATGAGAGCGGAACCAAGGAAAGGGGCGCGACAGCCATTAAAGCGAGACTGACCCCCGTATTCACAAACGCCCCTGGACTCGACTTTCGCCCTTCACTTGACAGAGTTGGGCAGTGCGCCACAACTCGGCTGAAAATGACGCTGCGCTACTGAAGAATCGCAGCAGATTATCCTTGATATGCAGTGACTTGCAGTTCTTAGAGACAGCGCTCCCGTCGGCTTTCTCAAGTGAAGGTGAAGCGTTGAGTGAAGGGACGTTCTAGAATACGGGGGGGGGGGTGAGTGTACGCCACACTTGGGCTAAGGTCTCCTACACTCACGGCATGTTAGAGTTACCGAACGCTACTGCGTGATTAGAGGAAAACTTAACGCACGTTGGGTCTTCCCTGTCGAGCTATGCAACACCACCAAGACTATAGGTGGTGTTCGCCTAGGCGAGAAATGCCGAGGAACATCTAGGCGAAGCAGGCGCGTTGCTCTATGCGTTGCAAAACCAGTTTTGGTATGGAAGGATACCATGAGCCTCGCCGACGCTTTCTGTAATGCTGCCACCTGGCAGTGCGTTAAGGCGTTGACAAACTTGCCATCCTAATTTCGGAAATACACCGAATAGGACGGACGCGTAGTAACGACGCGTTGAAGGAACTAATAGAGAATTTCACGGCCATGATGCCTTATTACAATTTACCTAGAGTGCTTTCATAGGGTAGTGGTAAATATAAAAGCCGCGTTTTTGAAGCCGACAATGTATATGACCATGGCGCAGTGGAGAGATTGCCCAGCAGCTGTTGTCGCCAACTGAGAGGTCGTGTGTTTGACTGCCGCAGTGGAGGTTTTTTTTTTCTTTGTCTTCTCATGTGTTATTTTCAGACGTCATTTTCGCGACAGAAGTACGTCACTGAAATCTTGGTGGAACTCGGCATAAAACATTTTCGTGTTAAACAAAAACACTAAAAGGGGGTAAAAGTAGTAAAGTTCACCTTTTAGTTTTTTACTCGATTTTTCTACTGCAACGTCATGTCTATTAGAAGGTACCACCTCACCCAATTGTGGAACAAGAGCTTGGTAGAAAAAAAAAACTAGGTCATAAATATTTGAATACAGATGTTTTACAGTGGAAAGATACTTTGGCGCGCTTTTGCATCCTGTGAATACGAAGATCCACAACCAAATTTTCCGTAAGAAAATAATAAACTTGCGTTACAATTTTTGAATATTTTGCACAATTATTTTCGGCACGATATAAATACGAAGATTCTCACCCAAATTCTTCGTGATTAGGAGAATAGTAAACGTGCGTTACTAGTTGCAGCCTGTCATATTTGCAATTTTTTCACGACTGTTTCGCCTTGTTTTTTGTTTCTTCTCCCTCTTCTCTGTAGGCCAAGGACAGGCGGCGCTCGTCTCTTCGCAAAAGCAGCGCCTCCTCCCACGTTTACGACAGCGCGGCGTGATTCTCCCGCAGAAGACGCCAGAAGAGCTGCTGTTGATTTCTTCAATACTGTTGAATTTGATCTCGTCTGTTATTCTAGTCAGGCTCGTGCCATACAAGCACTATATGTTCCGATATCAGTACTTAAGATGTTTCTCCCCTCACTGCCCTCATGTTAAACCACATGGAATTTTCTCTGGCGGATAATCCCGATGTGCTCCACTTTCTAGAAGCAAGCTGGAGAGTCCCGCCTCTACGACAAACGTTGTTTCCTCCTAGCAGCCTACATACAGAAAAGTCGTAGGATGCTTACAGCAGACCGAAAAAGACAGCGATTTGGAAGCTTGTGAAGATGATAAGGGTACTTTTTTTTTTCGAAAACAGTTTAGCAGATGTGTGCCCTATGACGAAGTCTGTGCTATTACCTGAGCTGTGAAAGAAGCGACAGTGATTTTATGTACCACCAAGCAATAGAGAACTTCTATAACATGTCTCTATCGCTAGATTGCTCATAAACATTTCGTATCATGCTCCAAGTGACTAAGCGATTATATCTATGTGCACACTTTTCAATGTATTTATTAACGTCCTAGTCACAAGATGTATATGATGAGTGTCACCAAATGTTCTAGTCATATGTTGTATTAATAATAGGATTTTATTATTCTTTACAAGAGTAATATTTCAAGCTTCGTGTTCAATCGCAAGTTGTATATGGTGAATATCACCAAATCTTCTAGTCGTATGTTTTGTAATAATGGGGATTTATCATTCTCTACATTAGTAATGTTTCGTGCTTCATATTTTGTGCAGCGGGTTAGTTGTATTTTTCCTCGTTCTAATGTCACTTAGAACTCCTAGTCTTGAGACAACACTCGGTGCTTGTTGGAAATGTCTTCTGGTGTATACGTTTTTCTGTATGACGTCAGGCGTGAGTTGTTTTTCTAGCCTCAAATAACTCGAATGTGACAAGGAGGATGCTCTAACATCAGACTCTAACATTTGGTTATAGAAATTGTACAAAATTTTCTATCGTCAAATTGTCCATGAAGTGGGCGGAGAATTGACTTCGAGATTCGAGATCAAGCCAACACTGAAACGCATGACAAGGCTCAAGTAATGGCTAAATATCCCCTTACTTCCACGAAGAATGGTCAGTGCGACGGTACAGACTACGTGAACGTGCAGCTCGAAGGTCACCGTATTTGTATACCAGTTAGAGTGTTTAAGTAGCTTTTTCTTTTTGTTTCCTAGAATGTACATTTTGATATACGCGTTTGTGTACTGATATGTTATTAGAGTCAGTAAGAACATCCGTGTTGGCGTCATCTCGCAATAGGACATAATCACGGAAGGACGGTGTTCCAGTATCATTTAAGGGGCGCTGCAGCACTTTTTCAGTAGAATGAGAAGATAGAGATATGTGGGGTTTAACGTCCCAAAACCACCATATGATTATGAGAGACGCCGTAGTGGAGGGCTCCGGAAATTTTGACCACCTGGGGTTCTTTAAAGTAGAATAAGAAAACGCTGCCGATTGACAGATTGAAAGCACTTGCCGCGCTCTGGAAAAGCACTGTACGCTGCTTGAAACTTACAGTTAATTCTCAAAGTCACCTAGAAATGGTTCGATCCTTTAACAAACGACGCCAGACACTCAAATGGCCGCTGGCAGACTTGAGCGTCGTGAACTGCGTAATTACCGCGGCCGCCACGGAAGGCCGTCAAATGCCCAAACTGGCAACCACGCAGAAAGTAAGGCCCGCGTTCGAAAGAAAAGCAGTCAAGGTCATGACATGCAGTGACGTAACGTTTTCCCCATCGTTCCATTGTGTTTATTTGCAACCAAAAAAGGGAGAAAGATTACTGCATTCGTCGAATGCTTGTTCGTGCTGGACAGGTTCAAAAAAACTTCAGGCAATAAACTCCTTTAACGAAGCTACATGGAAAAGTGTTGCAGGGCTCTTTCAAGGAAAAATAGAAACTTTTTTTTTTTTGCTCCAGCGTTATGTCATTGTATAATTTTTTTTCTGTCCTCCATGATCATCTTGCTCTTGCCAACTCAAGCCATTACATGCTCAACAAACGATTTACGTGCTTCTCAATGTACACTTATTCATGCAATTCAAAGAGTACTAAAGGCTCTATTGGAGCTGTTTTAGTGGTACAGGGCGGTAGTGAATGGAACGCTCAACTATACAGTAAAACGCGTTGTTTTACACTTATTTCGTGTGTACTCCTGTTTAGTTTAGACAAACGTTGCCAAATTACATCACTTTGCAGGGTAAAAAAAGAGTTATGCAGACGGAAGTACGAAATTAACATGTGCCAATAGTACTTAACATTTTATCAGGAGTACCACCACGTAATTTTCAATGCCGTGGTGCGTTCGTTATCTCAGCGATGCATAAAACCGAGAATTCGACGCCGAAAATGAAATGATAACTTTACACAAGAAGCAACGCGAACAGTACGTGAGAATGAACAAGCTTTCTCTTCACAAATTGTGCTTTTGTGCAATTATACGCAAGTCATGCGAGGGCTGCTTTGAAAATGGCGACATGTCCTATCTGCGCGACAAATGTGAATACTTTGATATCTCATCAAATGCACTCAACATAGTGAACTGAACGCTAAGTATTGAATAACTAAAGTACAGCTTTCGCCACGTAACCGTTGGGCTGCCAAAAAAATCGAAAACTTGACCAACGTTCTCAGCTACTTCGAACAAAGTAGTTAGTCGCTATATTTTCTTTTTCTCATCCAGCATTGTTACACGTATCTAAGAGCATTAACTTACACTTTACATGCCAGAAAAGTTAGATCCTAAAGTATGCTGATGTGTAGTACCGCATGGTTACAGGTAACGCAGACTTGACACAAACTTAACAACAAACAAGAATATGCGCTGCACTTGCAACCACTTATAGCGAAATATTATTACATTTAACAGAAAAAGAAACACTAGCACGCACAAAATCAATCATAGAATTATATAGTAAGGACCCAAGCACACACTGTGTTCTCACAAACATTGCGTCCTTGTCAAGTTCTTTCTACATCTAACCATGAAATTGTGGTAACTAGCCCAGTCAGATTGTTGTTGTACCGCAGTTCTGCTTCCGTGCTACATTACTTCACAGCTACTAGTGTATAAAAAAACGAAGTCGTAGAGTCCTAGGCAGAGATTGAACTGAACGTCCCGAACTAGCTTCTTCTAATCCCCAGCGATTCACGCAAACGTGTACATCGTCGTGACAATTATTTTCGCTATGTATACGGCGGATCTTATGACTATCCGTTTAACTACGTAACACTTATTTGCTTACCATTCATCGCCCCGAAAACGACATAACGGCATTCAAGATGTGACTAACGTCTGCACAGTCCAGTGTAATAAAATTGTCAATTAAACTTGGTTGTGTCTGCGTTGCATCGCGTGCATGGTAAACTTCAAACAATGATAAAATCCCCATAAACCACCAAAAAAGTGTTCGAATACAGCACTTGTGGCACAAATTCAATTCAAGACATGAAATGTATACTCGGGAAGTACATATGCAAGTGTACTCCGTTTATTTGAAGTGTTAAAACTATATAGCGTGAACTGTTCAAACACCTGGATAATTAGCTAACGAATATAGCCTATAGACTAGGCGTAGCCCCTAATCCACTAAGAGGGATGTTATGAGTGACAATAAGCGCTGTCCTGGACAATCCTGTATGATCCCGCATATTATTAGTGCGAAAAAAAAAAAACCTTGAAGAACGCTTGAGCTTGGCCTTCCAGAGTATAATGTCATAGCGTAATCCGGCCCTACTCGCGACGGTTTTTCAATCGATAGCCGAGATTTTCTTCTCGATAAACACCTCAACTGTGCCGCAGAGAAAGGAGCATCTGTTTGCGTAAGATTGGCCATTTTAAGCTATCCTATTTACCAACTGTTAGTACTGATGTGAATAGCTTAACAAAACATAACTCTTCCTTCTGTGAGTTGGCGAAGTACCGACTACACTTGTGTGTAGCGACAGGGGCAGCTGCACACTTACTTTACGCTGCTGCTGAAAATTATGATAATGTAAATATGCCTGTGCGCTCTGTAATTGGTGGTCCTTTAAACCACGCTCTCGTCACGCAGTTCCCATTTATTGACACCTTATGCAATTCTACGCTTCTTCCATGGAATATTACGTACGTTAATAACACTCTTCATACTAAAAACATCCCCATAAGTTTTTTTTTTTACTTTTCTTTTGAAACAGTTTCGAGCACGGGCGTGGCTCCGTGTAGAACACCTCCTTGCCATACAGAAGTGCTGGGTTCGATTCCCACTCGAACTATTGATTGATTTGTGGGGTTTAACGTCCCAAAACCACCATATGATTATGAGAGACGCCGTAGTGGAGGGCTCTGAAAATTTCGACCCCCTGGGGTTCTTTAACGTGCACCCAAATCTGAGCACACGGGCCTACAACATTTTCGCCTCCATCGGAAATGCAGCCGCCGCAGCCGGGATTTGATCCCGCGACCTGCGGCTCAGCAGCCGAGTGCCTTAGCCACTAGACCACCGCGGCGGGACTCCCACTCGAACTAATTGTTCACATTTCTTTATTTGCATGGATTTTCAGTTTTCCCTCACAGACAACACTCACTTTTTACTCAGAACGAACGACACCAACACCGACGCCGACACCAAAATTTCAGCCAAAAAAGCTCTTTAACGCTTTTGCGTCACAATAATGCGGGAGTTTTGGGGACTTAAAAATGCTGCAGCCAGCCTATGCGCCTGTAGAGGGTACTTCACTGCAATAAGTGTCTTGATGCGGGAAAGCCAAACAAGCAACACTAGGACGTGGGCGAGGTATCAGTGCAGTGCAGCTAGGAGGAAATATAAATTATTTTAAAAGGGCATTTCTAAACCCATCGCCTAACATTAATGCCACAGCGATATGAGATTTGCAAAATAAAATCACCTAAATTCGCATACAAACAAACAAAAACCCTCTATACAAGTTACCGTG